CCTGAAGGGTTTCTATTGATAGATCAGCTGTTATCCTTATGGGAATCCCTTTGTGTGTTATTTGTTGTTTCTCCCTTGCTGCTTTTAATATTTGTTCTTTGTGTTTGATCTTTGTTAATTTGATTAATATGTGTCTTGGGGTGTTTCGCCTTGGGTTTATCCTGTTTGGGACTCTCTGGGTTTCTACAAATATGATAGTTTTGATGTGCACATCTTCCTGAGGAAATTTACAGTGTGACTAGGCTTTCATTTCTGTCCTCATTTCAGACACATTGGTTTGCTGCGTGTTAAAGGAAGGAAGATGAATATGCAGAAAATTCCTCTCCGCACAGTGAGGCAGTTTTTCATGGATGATGTTGTTCTGGCTGATCATCCAGACATTTTTAACCCAGATAATCCTAAAGTAACCCAAGTCATACAGAACTTCTGCTTGGAGAAGGTAATTCTTCTAGATAAAGGTCAATTAAATCTATTTTAATTGAGAGGTTATTTACATTGAATTAAACATTTCAGTAGACTAGAGGGAAGACATTATGTTTGCTATATTCTCATGAAACCTTTAGGGAACCACTGTTCAGTAAATGAGTTTAGGCATATCGAAGTTTTTTTCTAAGTCTTTGAGATGGAAGAATGTTACATATAGAAGAAACTTTAAGCCCCCCTCCCCAATTCTTTCCTCCTTCTCAGAGACGTATGTATAATTGCTTTTCACTTTTTATCCTGATTTGATAATTTGCTCATTTTATTAATGAAAGCAGTAAGTTTGATTGGGGAATGGCAGGATACTATGGTAGATGAGGAGAACCTTAGCCTAGTAATCTCCCTCACACATCCTTTCACCCTGAAATCTACCTCCAGATAAAATCTTGAAATGTGTCTGCTAGGGCTTCCCTGGTAGCTCAGCTGGTAAAGAATCCTCCTGCAATGCAGGAGATCCTGGTTCAGTGCTGGGTCTGGATGCTCCCCTGGAGAAGGGATAGGCTACCCACTCCAGTATTCTTGCCTGGAGAATGCCATGGGCAGAGGAGTGTGGTGGGCTACAGTCCATGGGGTCACAATGAGTCAGACACGATTAAGCACAGCACAGGGACCATGTCACTTCAGTGTAAGTCCCATACCTCCTCCCATGCAGATCACCATCCCTAAACCTCTGCAGAATTTCTTGAGCCACTTTGAAGTTGGATGAATGCATTTGATAATATGGAGCTTGACATCTTAATACAGTAAGTCTCCTATGAATGAACCTTCAAGTTGCAAACTTTGAAAATGTGGATGTGCGTTTGCTTGTCGCATCACTTAAATTAGTTCACATTTCTGGTGTACATTGTCACATGCATGCATCCTCTGCAAGTGGCTGTACTCTGGTACACTTTACTGTACTGTGCTATACAGAGGGCTTCCCTGGTGGCTCAGCAGTAAAGAATCTGCCTGCAGTGCAGGAGACATGGGTTTGATCACTGGGTTGGGAAGGTCCCCTGGAGAAGGAAATGGCAAGCCACTCTAGTATTCTTGCCCCTGCACTATGCATTAATGTTCAGGTCTTGGTTTTTGGGTAGAGTTGATAAAAAGAAACATACTTTTGTAGAATATATTCTTGTGCCTTTTTGAATGTCACACTTAAATAAGGAGTGTATTCTACTAAGCAATTTCCCTTCAGGTTAACCTGGCCCTATGTGCTTTTTTGAATGTAGTTATTGGGGGAGGCTACGGGAGAAAGAAACTACCTATATGAATGATCATACTCTCATTTAGCAGACAACAATAACACTATTAATATTCATTGCTAGTACTTATTGAACTATACTGAGCATGGAGACTCCCAGGCAAGAGGAGCATGGTGGGCTATAGTCCATGGGGTCACAAGAGTCCCACACGACTTAGCAACTAAACCACCACAACCACTGTATAGAGTACGGTAGTATAGTATCTTTATTTCAAGCTGAAGAATGTCTGGAAGGAAGCGTAAAAGCAGCAGTGATGTGACTGGTGCTGTTGTACTTTTTAAAGTGCTACATTTAAGATTAAAAATGTTTTCTTTATTTTTTGTGTTTGTTTTTATGTATTATTTGTGTGAAAAGTATTATAAACCTATTCGTGCATGTGTGCCAAGTCACTTCAGTTGTGTCTGACTCTTTGCAACCCTTTGGACTGTAACCCACCAGGCTCCTCTGTCTGTGGGATTCTCCAGGCAAGAATACTGGAGTGGGTTGCCATTCCTCCAGGGAATCTTCCTGACCCAGGGATCAAACTTGCATCTCTATGTCTCCTACATTGGCAGATGAGTTCTTTACCACTAGCACCAGCTGGGAAACATATTACAGTACAGGATTATGTAACCGATTGTATTAGTTGAGTACCTAGGATAACTGTTGGACTTAAGAACAAGTTAGACTTAAAATTTGTTGTTGGAACGGAAGTTGTTCATGTGTAACATTAATTGCTAACATTTACTCAGTTCTTACTCTGTGTATGCTCTTCTGCTTTGCATTTTATTCTCATAAAAAGCATGATGATAATGATAATTGTCACTGCTATTCATTGCTTGTATATTCTGGACACTGTTGACAGCATTTTGCATTTAATCCTCTTAGCAATGCTATAGGATGGTAGAGTCTACCATCCACATTTTATAGAAAGAGGAGCTGAACCTTAAACTGAGGCAAACGTGATAATCACGAAACTGTGGAAACACCCATTGGAATTGAACCTTAAAGTAACTCACCCAGTGTCACAACTTTACTCGCAGCATGTAACTCACATACTGAAAGATTTAGGTTTGCTGGTTTCAAGATGACCAGATCCAGAAACTCGAATCAAGATAGCAGATCCTTCTGTCTCTGTTTCCATGTTTAGTCCTGTGCCACCCAGTCCTATGGTTTTTATCTTAAGCTTCACTATAAGGAAGGCTGTCATGCGGTGGCCCACAGACTTACATTGCCTTTACAGCTGAAAGAATCATTTTTTTCCCAGTGGTTCCAGATAAACCCCTTAAACACTGTACTGGATTGAGGTCATGTACTTGTCCCTGAACCCGATCTCTGAGGAGAGGGAAATGGAGCATGAGTGAGTGGATTGTCCCGGCCTACTCAGGGAGCACAGGGTCTCTCAGCCTTGGCACAGATGACAGTTTAGACTGGGAAATGCTTTGTTGTGGGAGCTTGTCCTGTGCACAGTGGGATTTTTACAAGTCCTCTCTGCCCTCTATCACTAGATGCCAGCCAGAAGTACCTCTTCTCCCTAGTCATGACAATATCTTTATTTTGAGGTTGAAGAAATGCTTGAAAATGCAGAACGGGAACGTCTGGGAAATTCTCGACAGCCAGAGAAACCTCTTATACGACTGCGAGTAAGTCCTATTTAGATGAATTCAGCTTTATTGATTTTCAAAGGAGAGTTTTGTACAGTTTATATGAATTTTTTTTTTTGTAAAGTAGCAAAGAGAGTACATATAGTAAGAAGAGCTATCATCATCGGTGAAGAATACAATAAAGCAGCCAGTATTGATTTAATCGTAGTTTCATTCCTTTCTATAAACTTTTTATTTTATATTGGGGTATAGCTGATTAAGAATGTTGTGACAGTTTCAAGTGAACAGTGAAGGGACTCAGCCATACATATATGTGTTCTCCCCCAAAACCCCTCCCGTCCAGGTTGCCACTTAACATTGGTAAAGTTCCATATACACAGTAGGTCCTTGTTGGCTATCCATTTCTGGTTCATTCTGATAGGTTTGATGTTTTTGTTTTCTTGCTTCCCTCATTTCTAAATAGTCTTGTGTTGATTAGGTTGGCCAAGCTCTCTGACTTCATTGCTTGCTGCTCCCTGCTCTCCCCTCCTTCTAGGCACTTGGACTTCTTGCAGTGCCTCAGGTGTATCAGATCTGCTCACTTCCTCCAGGTCTGCCCACGTCACCCAGTAGGCACTTCAGTGGACCCCAGCCTGACTAAGATTGTAACCCCCAGTCCCTCTATCCAGCACTACTGATTTCACTTACCCTTCTCTATGTCTTTTTTCCCCCACAACACATTCGCCTGAACTATGACATCCAATTTATTTGTTTTTTTATTTTGGTTATTATTTGTCCTCAGCTACCAAACTATCTGCTCTACAGAAGCATGGAACTCTGTGAGTCTTGTTAGCTATGTAGCCAAAGATCCCAGAACAGTCCCTGGCAATTGCTTGTACTTGATAAATATGTGGCAAGAACTGAGTTTCAGAGTTAGAAAATTCTAAGAAATCGAAGTGTTTCCCGTGCCTCTAAACCTGCTTATCTTTTGCATCATGATATTCACAGATAACAACAGACTTCTTTTTTTTTCACCCCTGTGCCTTTTTCTTCTAGCTCCTACCTCTTCTGATTATTCTTCCCCCCAAAATAATACATTGTCTATATTGCTTATGTAATAGTCTCTTCCTCAGTCCACTATAATCAAGGCTGTGACAGCACCATCTCAGGTGGAAAAGGCAACCTTCAGTTGTCAAATCCAGTAAATTTTTTTCCTCTTACTGAGTCACTCTTCGGCATTCTCTCCTACAAGTTTTATTTGTCCCTTCCTATATTTTATAGTTCTGTGTCCAGTCTAGGCATATGATCACCTATAGAATAATGGCTCCCAAATTTTGACCTACCCCTGAGACCTCCTTATTGGAGTCCAAGAGTCCTTCTAAAGCCTTGTGCCCAAGGGATATGGCCCTCAAACTGCACCAACACTGGCATCACCTGGGAAATTCTTAAAAATACAGAATCTCAGGCTCCATGTTAAACCCACTGAATTGCATTTTAACAGGATCCCCCAAAGATTTATATGCACGTGAAAATTTGAGAAGCCTTGGGCTGTACAGGATGAAGGCAAAGAGGACAGTCTAGAGTCAGACTGTCTGGTTTGATTCCGGCTCTGTCACTAGCTATACGACCTTGAGCCACCGGGTGTTTTGTCCCTGGGTGTTTCTTCCTAGATCTGAGTGAATTCTCTCCATCTCGTTGTCATTGCTTAGCTGAGCCCAGATGCTCTCTTAGCTGGCCTGCAACTGCAACTTCCTACCTGATTCTGCTCCAGTTTCCTGCTGGCCCCACCTCTAGCCTCTCCAGACTAATGCCAATGCTGTCTTTCTAAAATATGATCATGCATGCTTTTCCTGCCGAAAACGATGTAATGACATCCCAACTCTTAACAGGAACGAGTCTAAACTCTCACGTGGCATTCCAGACTTGACACGATCTGTTCTAAACCCACCTCGTTGCTTCTACCTCATTTCCTACCAGCACCTCCTAGGCTCCAGTTTCTGACTGAAAGTTGCTGTGTCCTAGGCCTAGTGGAGTTTATTTCACTCTTTTACATGTTTGCTCATGCTGATCCTGCTGCATGGGATGTACTTCTCTTCTTCTTCTGAAATAGTCCCCTTTAATACTCAAGCTTCCCTCTTCAATAGAAACCTTTCTTGACATCCCTTCAGAATCACTACTTCTTCCTTTGTGTCCTTAATCTCCTCTGTACATACTTCTTACAGCACTATTCAGGTTCTGCTTGCAGCTGCTTCATTACATAGTTTGTCTTCCTAGCCAGCTTCTTAGTTTCTTTCCAACCAGGATGCTGTTTTATTTATATCTGGCCCTTGGCAGAGTACTTAGACGTTGTGGACACTTGAGTAAAGTTTGCTTAGTGAATAATTTTGTAATTATTAGAAGCAGAAAATTACAAATGAAACTAGACTGTAGTTCAGTTGTTAAAAACGTGTTTTGGGGAGACCCCCTAGCTTGAGCATTTGGCATTTTCTGGTTTAGAACACGGCAGCTGTAGAGATGGTTTGTCTGGGTAATAGAAACATAGCTGCTTTAAGGGAACAACACAGAACTCTTTTATCAGGGCAGAAGCACCATGTTTCTCATCTATGTCTGCCTGATATTATTAAAACCAATCAGAATTAAATTGGAAATTGACGTTCCTTTTCCCAAGCACATTACTAACTCATTAATGATAAAAAGAAGAAATATCTTCCTGTAGGTAGTATTCCAAAATGTATTGCCTGGATGACCTTCACTGATTCACTAATTCAGCAAACAGATGTTCATTGAGTCATTGAGTGCCTTCTTTTCTGCATGTGAGAGTGGGGAGTGGACAGTGATGGTAAAATAGACAAGGCTTACAGGAGGTGGAGGTGTGAGAAGAGATACTATAAACAAATAGCAAATATGTGAACAGAGTCTTAGCTAGTGCTAAGTGTGACAGAGAGTGTAATTGGGTGGAGGTCAGGAGTAGTCTGGAAAGATTGATGATGTGGTATAATGCTGGTTCCCAGAGCATCCTTTGAGAACAGCTGGTTTAGGAAAATGATTATGTCTGTTAGGAAGAGATGTAGAGTTTTCTTTGTAAGGGGCTTGATGCCATAAGAGATGTCTTTAGGAAAAGCCTGCCTTGAGAACCATTGTTAGTTCTAAATAGAAATCGTGAGCCCTCTTGTACCTGCAGTTTCGTATCTGCAGATATGGAGGGCTGATTGAACCGTGCCATTTTATACAAGGAACTTCAGCATCTGCAGGCTTTGTTGTTCCCAGCCAGGGGTCTTGGAATCAATCCCCCTGAAATACCAAGAGTTGACTGTCCTGTGTTTTGAAGGTGATCATTTTTCAAAGCTCATAGACTTGCTTGTTTTCCTCCATGGATTTTCCCAGTGTTTATTTTTGTCTGATGTGAAAGCTTATCCTTACATGATAAACCAATTAATAAATGCATCTAGTGCCAGCATTCTATTTGGATATCTGTTTTAAAAGTTTAAGAAAACTTGTTTAGAAATTTCATGTCCTTTTCAGATGATATTCCTGGTTACTAGACTGTTAGTTTTTACCATGGGGAGATAACAGTGATTCTGATATTGTGGGAATTCTTGCTGTACCTTAATTCCATCAAACAATGTTTTGCAGAAGCATAAACCTTTGAAGCTTTATTTTTTCATAGAATAAATGGTATAACATCATCATGATCTTTAAAATGAATTGTAGAACCTTAACATACAGTACTAAGTTAAAAGTCTTCCATAAATACTGAAATTGGTGCTTTGTTGTATGCTAGCCTTTGTAACTTGTTCTGTATTTCCAGGTGGACTATAGTGGAGGCTTCGAACCGTTCAGTGTTCTTCGCTTTAGCCAGAAATTTGTGGATCGGGTAGCTAATCCAAAAGATGTTATCCATTTTTTCAGGCACAGAGAACAAAAGGAAAACACGGGTAAGCTGGTTACCTTTTTTTTTTTTTAAGATATTTTTAGCAGCTTTTTAAAGGTATATTTTTGGCTATGCAGAGTCTTTGTATTTTTGCAGTTTTTCCCTCTGGTTTTGGCGAGCGGGGGCGACTCTGTAGCTGGGGTGTGGGAACCTCTCATTGCTGTGGCTTCTTTGTTGTGGATCTCGGGGCCCTAGGGCACTTGCATTTCAGTAGTTTTGGCAGGTGTGCTCAGTAGTTGCAGTTTCCGGGCTCCAGAACACAGGCTCAATAGTTGTGGTGCATGAGCTTAGTTACTCTAAGGCATGTGGGATCTTCCCGGATCAGAGATCAAACCCATGTCTTCTGCATTGGTGGGCAGGCTCTAGCATTGAGCCAGCTGTGGTCAATTTGATCCCAGGGTCAGGAAGATTCCCTGGAGAAGGAAACGGTAACCCACTACAGTATTCTTGCCTGGAAAATTCCATGGACAGAGGAGCCTGGCAGAGGAGTCCATGGTCTCAGAGAGTCAGACACAACTTAGTGACTAAACACACACGCATGCGGGCAAAAACTAGGTAGCAATCGTTTGTAAACCTGTGGCTGTCAGTAAAGAAATGATGGCTTTCATAGTTTTTTTTAAATATGTTGCTGATTAACAACACATACTTTGTAGATTTAGTGTTTAACATATCTATTATTACTATATATTCTTAATGTTTAGAAAATATACTCTAAAATTTTATAGCTAAATATTTCAACTTCACAGAGTATATGATTTAAGATTCCAGTCTTAAGAGATGTTCCAGAATATATACTTAAGGGCTAATTAAGTTTTGTGAAAACTAATTGCCTTTATTTTAGCATTTATCAAAAACAGGTCACCTGACTGAAATAGTGTTTCTTCATAAGAAATATTGGTCCTTTTTAAATACAGTGGCTCTTCTCTTTAAAACTATTCAGTCTGAATTTTAATAGAAAAATATGTTGATTGTTTACATATACACCACATTGGTTTTTATTAACCCTGATTTAATGAGCTTCTATTTTCACAGTTAAATTGTGATCAAAATGGTGTGTACTGTTAATTCAGCCTGAAGTAGTCATTTGGATATTTAAATGGAGCTCATAGAATACTGTTTTAGGGGAAAATAATCAGAGACTGGTTTTTATGCTATTAATTTTAGCTAGATATTGATGATGATTTACTTTAATCATTCATCCTTATCAATTCCTTGGAGTTTCATTGGTATAGCATTTGTGAAAATATGGAGTTTAGAACTGGTTCCTTATTTTATTTGTGCTTTCATCCGTAGTCAGTTTTGTTCTGATGATCCCTTTTCTGCTTAAACATTAACTGCCGAATGAAAACAATGACCCTTTCGTATATTGTATTGAAAGCATGAAATTGTTGTTTTGGCCAGCTCTGCTACTTTAACTATGTGTGTGAAATCATGCAAATTGGTTAATCTTTGATGTTTAGTTTTCTTGTCATCAAAATTAGGATAATAACTGTATCTGCCTCATAGTACTGTTGTGAGGATTAGATGATATACTGTATGTAAATGGTCTTAACATAGTGTCTGGCATAGTGAAATGTAGAAATCATATTTATGAAGTAATACTAATTTTCCCATCTTGAAATTCAAAAAGGATTCCTGTTCACTTGTCCTCACTGCTTTGCAAGAGGCATGCTGAACTTTGTGTCTCTTTATCCATGTGCCTCTTTAGCCATGGCATAAACTTTTCTCTCTGCCTAAAGTATTTTTTCTTTTTTTTTGCTTACTCATTCTGCAAGTCTTGAGTCAAATGATAACAGCATTTGCTATCTGTACATTATTTTCAGTCTTCTTGGGGAAGAAATAGCTCAGTTCTTCTTGGTGTGTCATATTTTTTGTTCTCAGCTCTGTTGTAGCACTTACCATCTCATATTGTAATTGTTAGCTATTACAGGCTGTCTCCTATCATTTTATTAATGTATTTTCCACACCATGTCACACACCTGTTGGACAGTTAATATTCATTTTCCCTGACAGAAGTTATGAACAGAGCATATTACTAGACCCTATGCTTTTTGACTTCTTACCCAGTACTCTTTTTATTCTGTACGTACTGTTTTTTGAGACAAACATCCTGTGTAAGAATGCAGTAAATCTGCTTTACTACACATGCTTCCCATTTGTCTCTCAGAATATTAAACAGATATGTACTTACGGGCCCAGATTTGATGAATAACTTTTGCTGTTTGATCAAGGATATTCTTTAGTGAAACTGGCTGTTTGCTTTGTCTTGTTCTGAACTGTGACTACGAGGTGATGACTATTAGTAGAGCCACTGCCTTCACTCATCCCAAGGCACTGGCAGTTTTACCCAGGGCTGCTTGTATATCATCAGTGTAAGTGGCAATACTGTGGAAAAGGTAAATAATGTCTTCGTGTGATTGTTGAGCCCCCTGAAGCAGTATGGGGGACTCCCAGAGATCTGTGGACCACCCTTGAGGACGGAGCCAAGAGACATGCTACTTGGAGATCAGGAAAAGAAGTAGAGACTTGGGGGGAAAGACTCTTAAAACTAGCAAAAATGCCATATTTTTGTCTCAAAATTTACTACGTTGAGCAAGCTGACAGTTGATAAAGTTTGGCCATACCTCCTCCACTGGCAGGAATGTGCAGTGAATTTGGGTTCTTTAACATTAAGGTGTGTGTATGTGCTTAGTAGTGTCTGTGGACTGGAGTCTGTCACGGATTACAGTCTGTCTGTGGGATTTTCCAGGCAAGAATAGGGAGTGGGTTGCCATTTCCTTCTCCAGGGGATCTTCCTGACCCGGGGATTGGACCCACGTCTCCTGCAGGGGCAGGTGGATTCCTTACCACTGAGCCACCAGGAAGGCCCCAACATTAAAATAGAAACATTTTTTTCTCCTTGTGGATGTCTTTTTTTCTAGGAGAAGAGATCAACTTTGGCAAGTTCATCTCAAAACCCTCAGAAGGAACAACACTAAGGGTTGAAGACCTTGTAAAACAGTATTTTCAAACTGCAGAGAAGGTAATTTCTTAATTACAGTTCTCCATTTGAATTAGTGGTGATCTTATAATAACAGATTTCAGTTTAGGATATGTATAATTGACAGTTTAAACAAAATGAATCCTCACAATGTTTCCATGAAGTAAGTAGGATGATAATCAGTTACACTCATTTATAGTTATTATATACCAAGAAAAATAACTCTTAGTTAATGTTAGTTATTAACACCATGGTTATTGTGTATTATTGTTGCTGTTGTTATCCTCTTTCCTTTTACCTCTGCTACATAAGTTTGAATCTGGGATTTAATTTTCTTGCATCAGGATGTAATTTCAGAATTGCTTTATTATATAGCCACAGGACAAAGACGCTACTCTTATTATCATGAGTGTATGCCATTTTGAGATCCTCTGGTTATGCTGTCTTCCTGTTGCTGCTGAAATAAATTTAGTGGTTTAAAACAATGCAACTTTATTATTCTAACAATCTTGTAGGTCAGAAATTCACTCTTCTCCCTGGACTAAAATTGAGATATTAGCAGGGCTTTGTTCCTTTTTGGAAGCTGTAGAGTAGAATTCATTTTCTCAACTTCTCCAGCTTCTGGCTGTTCCTACCTTATTTGGCTTAAGGCCCCTTCTTCCATCTTCAAAGCAAGCAACATTATATCTGCCTTGCTGTTTTTCCCCAGATAGACCTCTCTGACTCCCTTCTGTGTCCCACTTCTGCTATGAAGGATGCTTGTGATTATACTGAGCCCACCCAGATAGTCCCTGCTCATCTCCATTTTATTTCCAGCTGATTAGCAATCTTAATTCCAGTTATAACCTTAATTCTCTTTTGCCATGTAACATATTCATGGGTCCCAGAGGTTAGGATGTGGACATCTTCAGGAGGGCCACTATTCTGCCCTGGAGAAGGAAATGGCAGCCCACTCCAGTATTCTTTCCTGGGGAATCCCATGGACAGAGGAGTCTGATGGGCTACAGTCCATGGGGTCACAGAGAGTTGGACACAACTGAGCGACTAAACAGCAAACAGTTCTGCCTGCCTGCTGGTCAACCTAATCTCATCATCAGCTCCCACTTCTGCAGTCTGTGTCCCAGGCACTCAGGCCTCTCCGTTTTCATAGGTCCTGAACTCTTAGTCCCGCTTCTTGTTTATACTTTGCTGTTTTTGGCCTGTAATATTTCTAGTCTTAATTACTGTCCTTTGTTTTCTTTTGCTTTGCTTCATTTTTCCTCCAGTAACTAGATAACTTTTTTATCTTTTTCCTTGATAAGATTATTCTGTAATTTTCCTTGCTCGTATAGAGTTGTTTTGTAGGGAAAATACTATTTTCTGTCTCTTACAGAACGTACAGCTCTCACTTCTAACAGAAAGGGGAATGGGTGAAGCAGTACAAGAATTTGTGGACAAGGAAGAAAAAGATGCCATAGAGGAATTAGTGAAATATCAGTTGGAAAAAACACAACGATTTCTTAAAGAACGTCATATTGATGCCCTAGAAGATAAAATCGATGAAGAGGTGAATAATTTGGGTTGGAAAATCTAATATTTAGATAGTCTCTCCTTAAGAGTAGCTCTGCATTTCTTTCTGGTAAATCACTACTTCTCTGATTTGTTCAGTTTCCTTATCTATAAAATTGAGATCATAAAATGAGGATTAAATTATGAAATGTCTAATAAGTGTCTAGAACACAGTCTCAAAAGTGATTGATACCTAATGAATGTTAAGTGCTTTAAAATGAACCAACCTCATAGGGTGAAAATGTCTACTTACTCCAATTTTTTAGTAAGTTTTAATTGAGATTTTGAATTTCACTTAGAAAATGCAGTTCCTGTAAGCATAAAATCAGAAGAAAAGCTCTTTAGATTTGACTACATAAAAATTTTGAATGTTTGCATGTCAGATTGTCAAAGAAACAAAATTTTTTGACATGGTACTGACATGGAAAACATACTTGTATGTGCGCAGAATAAGAGATTAATATTCATAATATAATGTTAAAGGGCTCTTATGAATCTTAAGATTACTAAGCATTTTAATAAAATAATGAACAGAGGACCTGAATAGGTGGTTCACAAAAGAAATACAAATGGCTAATAAGCATATGAAAATGGTATTTAACCTGTGATAATCAAAGCAACTCAATTTTTTATTTGTCAAAGTAGCAACAATTTGTTAAAGAAATTTAGTACCCTGTTGGTAGAGTATTGAGTTTGAACAGCTGCACTGTAAAGCATTTTGGCAGTGTATGTCAAGAGATTTGCCCTTTAACTCAGCCCTCGGAAATTTTCTTAAGACAATAATGAGATAGAGATTTGAATGAGATGTAGTTTATCTCAGTGTTACCTGCAGGGGATAAGTCAGAAATGTTTTGGTAAAATAAATGTTGGCACATAGATATTATAGAATACTATGTGTGTGTGCTAAGTCACTTCAGTCATGTCTGACTCTTCTCAACCCTGTGGACTAGGACCCTCCAGACTCCTCTGTCCATGGGATTTTCCAGGCAAGATTACTGGAGTGGGTTACCATGCCCACCTCCAGGGGATCTTCCCTATCCAGGCATTGAGCCCATGTCTCTTGAGTCTCCTGCATTGGCAGGTGGGTTCTTTACCTCTGGTGCCACCTGGGAAGCCCATAGAATACTATGCAGCTATTAAAAATTATACTTTAAGAACATGGAAAAGTGTTTTCAGTGTTAAGTGGGAAAAGAATTCCAAAGAAGTAAAATTATACACAATGTGATCCCAATTATTTTTATTTTCTATGTGAATATGTGTATGTGTGTATGCAAAAGAGTGGAAGAAAATATTCCAGATGTTATCAGTAGTTATTTCAGGTAGTAGGATTATAAGAGATCATTTCCTGTGTTTTCCAAATTCCCTCTAAGCAAAAGAACAAAGTATTATTTTTAAAACTCATTCCACTTGACTTTTATTTTTGTACTTTTAATTATTTAACATAATTCTTAAAACCTAATTATGTCAGCTAGTATACAACCAGTAATATTAAATGCCAGGTACTTTCACAGGGAAGGCAGATAATTCACACTTTAAAACCCCTTACTCTGTGATTCTGGATGTGTTAGGTTCATCAGTTTTTAGCATGGTTAGATTTCTCAGTTAAGTGCCATAAATATAATATGACCATCCCCCACTAAATATAAAATGCAAAACTATAAAACTCCCAGGAGATAACGTAGGAGAACCTAGATGACTTTGTCTATGGTAATGACTTTTAGATTCAGCAACAAAAGCATGATTTATTAAAGAAGTAATTGATAATCTAGACTACAATAAAATTTAAAACTTTTCCTCTACAAAAGACTAAGAAGAATGAGAAGACAAGCCACAGACTGGGAGAAAATATACTTGCAAAAGAAATATCTGATCAGGGATTATTATCTAAAATATGCAAAATTCTTTTAAAATTCAACAGTAAGAAAATTTTAAAAATCCAATTGAAAAATGGACCAGAGACCTTAACAGACCAAGATAGACTATTGGCAAATGAGCATATGCAAAGATGCTCCACATGTCATGTTATTAGGAAAATGGAGCCACTACACACCTATCGGAATGGCCAAACTCCTGAACACCAACCGCACCAAATGCTGGTGAGGATGTAGGGCAACAGGAACTCTTACGTTGCTAGTGGGGATGCAGAATGGTATAGTCACTTTGAAAGACATTTGGGCAGTTTCTTACTAAAGTAAACACACTCTTCCCATGCTCTTCAGCAATCATGCTTCTTGGTATTTACCCAACAGAGTTGAAAACTTAAGTCTAAACAAAACCCTGCACATGGTATTTATAGCAGTTCTATTCATAACTGCCAAAATTTAGAAGCAACCAAGATGTACTTCAGTAGGGAAATGAATAAGTGAACTGTGAAACATCTAGACAAGGAAATGTTATCCTGTACTAAAATAAAATGACCTATCAAGCATTTAAAAGACATGAAGGAACCTTAAATGCGTATTACCAAGTGAATGAAGCCAATCTGAAAAAGTAACTTGATATACTGAACATGATTCGTTACTGTGTAACATTCTGGAAAAGGTAAAACTATGGACTTAGTAAAAAGATGTGGTTGGGCAGGAGTAAAAAGATGTGGTTGGGCGGGGGTTGGGTGAGAGGATGAATAGGTAGATTCACAGAGGTTTTTCAGAACAGAGAAACTACACTGTATCAAACTAAAGTGGTGGATTATACATGTATACATTATACATTTGTCCAGCCTCATAGAATGCATAGCACCAACAGTGAACCTTAAGGTAAATTCTGGAGTTTGGGTGATACAGAGTATGGAGTGTGGAGTGTCAACTGAATAGTTCTGGTGGGGGATGTTGATATTAATAGGGTAGGGGAGGCTGTGCATATGTGGGACAGGGTGTATGAGAAATCTAGGTAACGTCCTTTTAATTTGTTGTGAACCCAAGCTGCTCTAAAAATAAATAAATAAATAAAACAAGCCCCCCTCTCATACTCTCCTCTCCAAAAGGATCGTCTACACCTGGAGTGACGTAATGACTTCTGACAGAGAGAGAGTGAGAGAGAGTGTGTGTGTGTGTAGCTTGGGGACTAAGCGTGTGGACTGCAGACTGGACGACCTTACTTGCTGTGGAGCTGTCAGTGGGCTATTTTAATCTCTCTGCCTCAGTTTCCTCATCTGTGAAATAGGGATAATAGAAGCACCATCAAAGTTGTTGTGACTTTTAAAAGAATACATGTAAGTAAGTCCTCAGTACACTGGCACTTAATGCCTGCCCCATGTTTTTTCCCTGATTCTCATTTCTCATCTGTGAATGACTCAGTGCTTTTGGTATATCATATGCTACCTGGAGTACTATTACATGCTATGCCATCTTTTAAAAAGCAATTATTTTTCCCCTTTTACTGAATCATAACAAACATGCTGCTTTTTCTTTTAACAAAACTCTGGAGCCTAGATCTTATTTCCCTTTAGCTCTTACTCTGCTTCTTTGTTCATTTTTCACAGCAGAATTTTTTTCTATATTTGCTGCTCAGAATCTTTGCCTTCACTTTTCTCTTAAACCTGTTCATTCCGGGGTTTTGACCCCATCTTTCTAGTGAATTTACTCTGGTCAACGTACCAGTGACCTCCAGTGCTAAATTCACTGTCCATTCTCCATCTTAAATCTCATTTGACCACTTCTTAAAGCCTCTTTTCCATTGACTTTTAGGGCTCCACACTCTTCAGGTTGTCTTCCCACCTCATTATCTGTGTCTTCTCAGTCTCTATTGATTGCTCTCACCTCTCTAACCCGCTTACGTTGGAGTCTCCAGAATTCAGTCCTTTGACCCCTTCTTTATCTACACATTCTTTTGTATTCTCATCCAACTTCCTGGCTTTAAATACCAACATCAGTTTGGTGATGACTTTTCAAAAGTCTGGCCCAGACCTCTTCTGTCAACTCAAGTCTTCTGTAGCCAAGAGCCTGCTAGACGTTTCCACTCAGATGTTCAGTAGACCTCCTCAGCTTCCAACATTCCCAATCTGAACCACTGATCCTTAGCCCCTAGTCTACCTGTAAGGTTCTAGTGGAAGCACCATTCTTTCATTTGCTCAGGCGATCAACCTTGAAGTCATCCTTGATTCCTCTCTTTCTGTCACCTGTATCCTGCCTGGAAATCCTTTAACTCTACCTTCAGAATCTGTACAAATGTGACTGTTTCTCACCACCTCCATCACTATCAGTGGTCTAAGGCATGGCCATTTCTCACCTCAGTTATTCCTGTTGCCTCCAAACTGGTCTGTCTCCTTGTCCTTCCCATGTTTCTTGTCCTCCACTCTCTGTTCTGTCCTCAGTTCCACTGTTGGTGGTCCTAACCTAATTCAGATGAAGTCACTTCTGCCAAAGAAAAAAGTCCTTAAAGTTGTTCCCAAGGCCTTACTGGATTTGGTTTCTGTAACTTCTTCAGCCACTTGTCTGCTCAAGCCCAGCATCCTGCTTGCTGTTTCTTAAACATACAGTGTTTCTGCCCTGGTGCTTTGTTTTGATTGGAATGATTTCCCCTAGGTACTTGTGAAGTTCATTCCCTACCTTTTAAAATCCTTGTCACTTCCTCGCTTTATTACCTTCTCAGTGAGGCCTTTGATGGTCTCCTGTAGCCTCTCCTTGGCACACTCCGTCCCTCTTCCTGCATTATTTCTCTGGGAACACATAACACCTGCAAAAATTTCACAGGTTCACGTACTTTAAAGGACTCTTAAGACTCCACTGAGCATCTCACTTAAGGTTTTTATTTAAAGACAGCTGGTACAGTACAGCAAGAGGGAGGCATTAGGCAGGCATTAGGGATCTGGGAAATACTGGGTATCCACTCCTCCTCTCCTTGTATGTACACTGCAAACCCAGGACTGAACACCTGGCAAGATACATGCAGAAGTTGACAGGGTTTTTTTTTTTAATGCCCCTCTGGTCACATAAGTCATGCTGACTGCTCATCCAGGTAGGAAACCATCAGTAAATTGGCACTGGCAATGCCGGAGGCTCCTCAGAGGTAAAGACAGAGTTTTCCCAGTCTAGCTGATTCCAACTAGACTTGATCCATATACTTTCTAAAATACAATATAGCATATTTTGTTTCTGGTTTTCTACTGCAGACACATACACGGTGATTATAAGCTCCTTAAGAGCAGACTTTCTGAATCTTGTTCATTGTTGTAGTCTCCACCCCTTCAGCAGTACCTGGTACATAGTGGCTTGGCTCAGTTAATATGTGCTGAGTAACTTATTAAATAAATGGAGTGTATCTCCAGCTGCATAACTGAATTGTAAGAGCTTTGTGAACAGCAACTGGTAACAAAAGAAGCTTTGTATCCTTCGTGGCACCAGGACCAGTGTTTGCAATCATTAAACTTTTAGTGGTTGACTGTTAACAAGATGGATCTTCAAGGGCCCACCTATTTCGGACACTATTTTAGAGAGCCTCCTGGATGACTTACAGCCAGGAGCCCAAGAATAATTTGTGTAGTGTAGTAATAACTCAAACCTGTTAAAAGAGAGGTTTTTGTTCTTAGCTATTTTACTGAAGTATAATACCCATAAGACATTGCAGTTTCTTCCTCTGTGGTCTGGCTGTTTTTCAATGACAGGGGCCATTTTGGCAGCAGGTAATATAATTTTGCTTGTGGCCAATTTTTCTTAGAGTATATTTCTGAATTTTTAATGTAAGTCATTGGGAAAATATGACTCCTTTAATCTTTTGTGAAACAAAACTATACTTGAATTTCCAAGTTTTATGTTGAAATGAAAAGCATCTGTTAAGCAGTTTTGTATTTATATAACAAACATGTTTGTAACATATTTGTGAATTTTTCTGTTACAATCAGGTACGTCGTTTCAGAGAAAGCAGACAAAATAATACGAATGAAGAAGATGATGAAGTTCGAGAGGTAATTTTGCTGTTAATTCCTTTGCATATTTGTCAGCTTGTTAAATCAGAATAACTAGTAGGTTTACTTAGTTAGTCCACAGGATCTTGGTTTGGCGGGTGGGACTGAGCAGGGGTTGGCTGATGACAGTTGCCTTTGACTTACTCCAGTTCAACCTACGAGTGAGTATTCTGGTTGCTAATATTCTCTTTTTAACCTTTTGCTGTTGTTGAAAATTTAATTGTTGATACATGGATGGAGTGGGAGGGCAGGAGGCAGGAATAATAGTCTAAAGAGTTCTTATTAGTCAAAATAATTCCCAGCTGCTATTAGAGCATCTTATCAATATAAGATAAAACCTTACCCCACTGAGCTGATTTTGTTTGCAGCAAAAAAAAGAAGAAATTTAGTGTTTTGGTTAGCAGTGTCATTAAAGGTCCACTGGTCTTTCTAAAATGTTGAAATTTGCTTGATCGCCTCATCACTGTCTTTTCCATCTCTTTGTAGATTAGGAATTTGAGGTTAGCAACTGTTAACTTAAACTTTGGGCCTCTGTCTGGTACTTGGTGAATTCATTATTGAAATTCAAATTGAAGGATATTTTCCTATTTCCTAATTGCTGTAAGTGTTGGATGATTGCTGTCTAGTACTTAAAGATTATTTTAGCAATTATTTTTTTTGGACTTTTGATTGCTTTCCTTCAGCATTTTCTATAGTACCTGTTATGGGTAGCCATTGTATTTTTTATTAGAAATATAAATATGAAAAAGATGGTCTGGGTCCTCCAGAAAGCCTCAGTTTAGTACATGAGACAGAGATATGCAGAAAGAAAAATTTAACCTTATGACCAGAAGTTTCATCCTCACTGAATTCATACAACTGTCCCATTAGTCCTTTTCTGTTTGCTAAATATTTCAGAACTGTAGCTGACAGGTGGTGAATTGGAAAGAGCTGGAACTGCTCACAAGGACCACAGCCTTGTCTAACTCAATGAAACTATGAGCCATGCTGTGTAGGGCCACTCAAGACAGATGGGTCATGGTGGAGAAAGAAATGGCAAACCACTTCAGCATTCTTGCCTTGAGAATCCCATGAAAAGTATGAAAGGCACAAAGATCTGACACTGGAAAGAGGTACTCCTTAAGTCTGTAGGTGCCCAATATGTTATTGGAGAAGAGTGAAGAAGTACTCGAGAAAGAATGAAGAGACAGAGCCAAAGCAAAAACAACACCCAGTTGCAGATGTGACTGGTGATGGAAGTAAAGTCTGATGCTGTAAAGAAGAATATTGCATGGGAACCTGGAATGTTAGGTCCATGAATCAAGGTAAACTAGAAGTGGTCAAACAAGAGATGGCAAGAGTGAACATCAACATTTTAGGAATCAGTGCACTAAAATGGACTGGAATGGGCGAATTTAATTCAGGTGACCATTATGTCTACTACTGTGGGCAAGAATCTCTTAGAAGAAATGGAGTATGCCTCATTGTCAACAAGAGTTTGAAATGCAGTGTTTGGGTGCAATCTCAAAAGTGACAGAATGATCTCTGTTCGTTTCCAAGCCAAATCATTAAATACCAGAGTGATCCAAGTCTGCCCTAATCAGTGATGCTAAAGAAGCTGAAGTTGAGTGGTTCTGTGAAAACATACAAGATCTTCTATATCTAACACCCAAAAAAGATGTCCTTTTCATTGTAAGGGACTGGAATGTAAAAGTAGGAAGTCAAGAGATACCTGGAGTTACAGGCAAGTTTAGCCTTAGAGTTCAGAATGAAGGCTATCAGAGTTTTACCAAGAGAATGCAATTGTCATAGCTAACACCCACTTCCAACAACACAAGAGACAACTCTACATATGGACATCACAAGATGGTAAACACCAAAATCAGATTGATTATATTCTTTGCAACCAAAGATGGAGAAGCTCTATATAGTCAGCAAAAACAAGACTAGGATCTGATTGTGGCTCAGATCATGAACTCCATATTGCCAAATTCAGACTTAAATTGAAGAAAGTAGGGGAAAACCACTAGACCATTGAGGTATGACCTAAATCAAATCCCTTACGATTATACAGTAGAAGTGACAAAGATTCAAGGGATTAGATCTGATAGACAAAGTGCCTGAAGAACTATGGATGAAGGTTTGTGACATTGTACAGGAGGCAGTGATCAAGACCATCCCCAAGAAAAAGAAATGCAAAAAGGCCAAATGGCTGTCTGAGGAGGCCTTACAAATAGCTGAGAAAAGAAGAGAAGCCAAAAGCCAAGGAGAAAAGGAAAGATATACCCATTTGGATGCAGAGTTCCAAAGAACAGCAAGGCAAGATAAGAAAGCCTTCCTCAGTGATCACTGCAAAGAAATAGAGGAAAACAATAGAAGGGGAAAGAGTAGAGATCTCTTCAGGAGAATAGACATACCAAGGGAACATTTTGTGCAAAGATGGGCACAATTAAGGACAGAAATGGTATGGACCTAACAGAAGGAGAAGATATTAAGAAGAGGTGGCAAGAATACACAGAAGCTCTGTACAAAAAAGGTCTTCATGACCGAGACAACCACGATGGTGTGATCACTCACCAAGAGCCAGACATCCTGGAATGTGAAGGCAAGTGGGCCTTAGGAAGCATCGCTATGAACAAAGCTAGTGGAGGTGATGGAATTCCAGCTGAGCTATTTTAACTCCTAAAAGATGATGCTGTGGAAGTGCTGCACTCAATATGCCAGCAAATTTGAAAGACTCAGCAGTGGCCACAGGACAGGAAAAGGTCAGTTTTCATTCCAATCCCTAAGAAAGGAAATGCCAAAGAATGTTCTAACTACCACACAATTACACTCATCTCACACGCTTTAAAGTAGTGCTCAAAATTCTCCAAGCCGGACTTCAACAGTATGTGAACTGTGAACTTCAGATGTTCAAGCTGGATTTAGAAAAGGCAGAGGAACCAGAGATCAAATTGCCAACATCCGTTGGATCATCAGAAAAGCAAGAGAGTTCCAGAAAAACATCTACTTCTGTTTTATTGATGACATCAAAGCCTTTGACTGTGTGTATCACAATAAACTGTGGAAAATTCTTAAAGAGATGGGAATACCAGACCACCTCACCTATCTCCTGAGAAATCTGTTTGCAGGTCAAGGAGCAACAGTTAACAACAGACTGGTTCCAAATTGGGAAAGGAGTACGTCAAGGCTGTATGTATATTGTCACCCTGCTTATTTAACTTCTATGCAGAGTCCATCATGAGAAATGCTGGACTGGATGAAGCACAAGCTAGAATCAAGATTGCCAGGAGAAATATTACTAACCTCAGATGTGCAGATGAGATCACCTTTATGGCAAAAAGTGAAGAAGAATTAAAGAGCCTCTTGATGAAAGTGAAAGAGGAGCATAAAAAAGTTGGCTTTAAATTCAACATCCAGAAAACTAAGATCATGGCATCCAGTTTCATCACTTCATGGCAAACAGATGGAGAAACAATGGAAACAGTGTCAGACTTTATTTTGGGGGGCTCCAAAATCACTGCAGATGGTGATTGCAGCCATGAAATTAAAAGATGCTTGTGCCTTGGAAGAAAAGCTATGACCAACCTAGACAGCATATTGAAAGGCAGATATTACTTTGCCAACAAAGGTCTGTTTCATCAAAGCTATATGGTTTTTCCAGTAGTCATGTATCGATGTGAGAGTTGGACTATAAAGACAGCTGAGCACCAAAGAATTGATGCTTTTGAACTGTGGTGTTGGAGAAGGCTCTTAAGAGAGTCCCTTGGACTGCATGAAGATCCAACCAGTCTATCAGAAGGAAATAAGTCCTGAATATTCATTGGAAGGACTGATGCTGAAGCTGAAACTTCAATATTTGGCCACCTGATGTGAAGAACTGACTCATTTGAAAAAGACCCTGATGCTGGGAAAGATTGAAGGCGGCAGGAGAGGGGGACGACAGAGGATGAGATGGTTGGATGGCATCACTGACCCAATGGACATGAGTTTGAGTAAACTGGGAGTTGGTGATGGACAGGGAGGCCTGGTGTTCTGTAATCCATGGAGTCACAAAGAGTTGGACACAATTGAGTGGCACCAAACTGAACTGAACTGATACTATTTAGAACTTGACTAATGGAGTTCAAGGCTTTCCCAAGGTGTAATTCACAGCTTTGTAGAATTATTTAGCTCAGAACATGAATCCCAGTATCATACTTAAATTACTTAAATGGACAAACAAAAGCATTTGTTTTTCCTTTAGAGATAAAAAACATGCTTCAATGTCTTGTTCACATAGAAAAACTCTCAAGCATTTTCTTTAATTGTAGGTTCCTATTTAAATAAAAAGCCAGATATCAGTAGCAAATATTTTAGGCTTTGCTGGCCACCTGTAGTATATGTCACTTTTTTTTTTTTTTTTGCAGCCCTTTAAAAATGTAGAAACTGTTCTTAGACTGATCCAAAGTTCATAGTTGGACTGGCCTCTGATTTTTTTCTTATGTTCTATCTGAATTTGATTCAAGGTTGATATCTTTTTTTAATCTGTAATACCAAGTGCTATTAATGGAGTGAAGAGACAGCTAGTAAGATGAGAGAAAATATTTGCAAATCATATATCTGATAAAGGATTAATAGCCAGAATATATAAAGAGCTCTAAAATTCAACAAAACAACCTGTTTTAAAAATGGACGGAGGACTTGCCTAGATATTTCTTTAAAGAAGAGATACAGTTAACCACTAAGCATAGAAAAGATGCTCAATATCACTAAACACTAGGGAATTCTGATCAAAACCATTAGATACACTTTGTATCCCTTTGAATGGCTGTTCTCCAAAAATTAGAAGGTAACAAATAATGGCAAGAAAATGGAGAAATGGGAACCCTTGTGCATTGCTAGTTGGAAGATAAAAGCTACTGTGGAAAACAGTATGATGATTCCTCAGAAAGTTAAACGTGGAATTGCTATATGATCTTTACAAATCTAAGTGTGAAAAATTATTTCTTATGTTGTTTTTAATTCATACTTTTTTATTACTAGTAAGTCTGAACAGTTTTTATATATGAAACACTTGGTCATGTTCTTTACATACAGCATTATTTTTTTGCCTCGGTCATTGGCCTTTCTCTAATTGATTTATAAGAGCACTCAGGTGAAAGTGTGTGCACACTCACACTGAGTGTTTGTGTAGCAGAGTTAGGGGTTTTGTCATGTAAAAGAGGTCTCCATTCGTTCCTGAGGGTTTTTTGTTTGTTTGTTTGTTTAAATCTGGAATAGGGAATGAATCAAAAGCTTTTTTGGCATCCGTGAAGGTAAGCCTGTGGGGTTCTTCCTCCTGTGTTCTGTTAATATGGTGAATTATATAATTTTCTATTGTATTATTGACACATCCTTAGTATCACTTTATGAACTCCTGGTAATGGGTGTACTGGTCTTTCAGTGCGCCCCTGGATTCCTTTTGTTTGCTTTTATATTCATGAGTAAGATACTGTGATTTTTCTTTTGTGCATGCAGTCCTTTATCAGTTTTCAGTATCATGTTATGCTAGCTTTATATAAAGAAATTGGCAGCTTTCATTCTGAATGCTATTGAAATAGCCATGGAATCATCTGTTCTTTGAAGATTTGGTATAATTTACCTGTGAAACTTTCTGGTTGTGGTCATTTTCTGGAGTGTAGTTCTTTTAATTTTTTTCTCAAAGTGTTCTTTGTTAATTAGTCTGTTGAGACTGTCTTGGTTTAGTTGAGTCCTTTTATTTTCCAAATTACTTAGAACTGAGCAGAGTGCTTTGTCATAATTCTTTTAATTTGCTTTAGAAATTAATTTTCTAAATTATTAAAAAATTTTAATAATTTTCTTTAGAAGATTTTCTTTTTTCCCCCCTCCATTCTCATTTCTTTGCTTTAACAATTCATTTTTAAGCAGTTTCATCTGTTCTGATATTCAGTATTTTTATTATGCTTTTCTAGATATTCTGTAATTTTTGTTTTATTTTGCAATTTGAAGTCAGGGTATTTTCATTTTTAATTTTAATTGCACTGTGATTAGAAAGTATGATATCCTTTTTGCTATTTAGAATTGATCTTTTTCTTAGCATCTCATTATATATCAGTTAAACCATTTCATGGAGTCTTGAAAAGAAGTATATTATTTATTTTCAGAGTACAGAGTTCAACATGTGTCAGTTAGAGCTACCTTAGTATGTAATATAGGTCTTAATATATATTTTATATAGGTCTTTTTTTTATATAGGTCTTTATATTTAGGTCTTTATATATATATTTAATGTGTTTGTTCTTGTTATTTATGGTCATTGTATTCTATAAAGTCACTGCAAACACTGAGTGAGCATTTAACTTACTGCTTCAAGAGGAAATGCAAGAATAGGCTCTTGCCAGCCCCTGGTTACAAAATTTTTGCTAACTGATTAATGCAGTACCTTTTCTCTGTGTGTTTCTGTTTGAGGACACCTTATTCAGTATATGTCATTGATTGATTAACATTGAACTTGTGGCCAACAGCTCTGTAATTCATGCCTGAATGACGCTTATCTGACAAGTGTATTTCCTCCACAAGGCACATCCTAGTTTCTTGCACTTAGGAACAGTAAACAACACTTCAGCAGTACACCAGGGGCCATTTTAAAAGTAAAACTACCATCCCAAAGCACAAAATTGTGAACAACATGGCACTACATGGGTTCCGAAAAGGACACTCATTTACAAGTACGAGAGCTGAAACCAGAAAGCTGAGTGTCACATTGTTCGACATCATCTGGGAATGTGTGTGTTGGGCAATTAAAATTTTTCACCACTCTGCACATGCCCATAAATGACCACAAAGATATCCGGAGTATTGTTTTGGGGTTACAAAAACATTTTGGCAAGTAGGTGAATTTGCATATAAGGGATGTGAAAATTATGAGGATTGGCCATACTTTATCTGGGACAAGAAAGATGAATTGAAACCTTTACAGGTTTTTTTTTCTTTATGTTTTTTGTTGTATTCCCTGAAGTTTTTTCTTTTTGAGCTGTAATGCCATGTTGAGCGCTTGTAGTGAGTTAGCTGTTCCACTCCAGCAAGTGCCTCGTGGTGAAGCTTGGCTCCCTCCTACCACCACTTCACTCCTGCTTCTGCCCTGCCTGCTTTGTTCTCTTCTCCTCCCTCAGTCAGCCCTGGCTGTCCATAGTCCATGGACCACAGAGAGCGTGGAAATGCTCTAGCTGCCTGTTCCTAGACCCAGAACTTATCATTCTAAGCAAGAGAGACTGTTGTCATGGTCTCTTCGTAAGGATAGATCAATTTTGGAGCTCTCTACACTGTCTGAAACTCTTCAGCCTTCTCCCTTAGCCAAACCAGATATTCACTCTTTCACCCGTTAACGCTTCCTCCTTGGCTTTGTGTTTTGTGGGTAGAGCATTTTTCTAATTTTATTGAAAACATTTAAAAAATTTTTGTTCTTGTTACATTTTGATAGGTTTAAAGGAAGAGGTCAGGGCAGCATTGCTCTTTTTGTTTTTAATCAGGAAATCTATATTCACTTCAGAGTTATTCAGGATATTTCATTAAGTCTCAAACTGGTTTTTTCTAAACAGTTTCTTTTCAAGTTAAAGTTTATTAAATTAAAATCTTGGTCCTAAGGTTTTTATCCTTTTCCATGCTTTCACTTGTTTTGTTCTACTTAATTCTTTTTATTATATATTTGAAAGAAATTATTGCTTATGTTTTCTGATTATAAAAGTCATATTTTACAAAATGTTTATTATAGCAAACTTATAATATTCAAGAATAATGAAGAAAAGTACCCTAAAATGTCATCACCCAGAGATAGATGCTATTTTTTGAGGTTATTTTCTTGTTATTTATCAATAGCCCATTGTATAGAGAAGCCCAAATGATGACAGTCTCTTATAAATGGTGGTATTGAATTAGGCATGCGTGCACATGTACTAAGTCGACTCTGTCAAGTCCCAACTCTTTGCAACCCCATGACTGCAACCCACCAGGCTCCTCTGTCCATGGGATTTTCTCTTTTTGCTTTCCCGACAAGAGGAGGTCCTCCTCCTGGGGATCTTCCCAACACAGGGATAGAACTCATCTCTTACGTCTGTCTTCTGCATTGGCAGGCAGGTTCTTTACCACTGGCACCACCTGGGAAGCCTGTTGAATTAGGATTGATTGCTAGCTAATTCCTGCCAGAAATGCCATTTGTCCCAGTTCTGAAACTTCTGATTTTATGAAATTTTATCATCCTTAGTATACCTTTCAAAAGGTTTCCTTTTACAGGTAGTATTGCAAATTGATCTGGCAAATCACAGGCACTAAATTTGATTGCTGGAGGAGAAGGCTTCTCTTGTATTGCAGTTTTTAGTATGATGAGGAGAATGGGGTGGCAGAGAATGAAATGGTTGGATAGCATCACTGATTCAATTGACCTGAGTTTGAGTGAACTCTGGGAGATAGTGAAGGACAGGGAAGCCTGGCATGTTGCAGGCCATGGGGTTGCAAAGAGTCGGACACAACTGAGTGACTGAACAACAACAATAACAGCATGATTAGTGAAAAATAATAGTTTAGACAGTTTGGCAATATGAGCTGTTCATCAGAGTGACCAGATTAATGACTTGGAGGATGTTGCATTGTCCACTAATATGTGCTTTCCTCTTATCATCCCTGTCAGGCCATGAGTAGGGCCAGAGCCCTCAGATCTCAGTCAGAGGACGCTGCTTCCGCCTTGACTGCTGAAGACCTTATGAGTATAGATTTGGCAGAACAGATGGCTGATGACTCTGACGATGGCATCATAGCAGCAGCCAACAAAGGAAGAGGCCGGGGAAGAGGCCAAAGAGGAGGAAGAGGGCAGAATTCAGTGTCGAGAAGGGGGTCACAGAGAGGAAGAGGTTAGCCCCGAGTACTGTCTTCCCTACACATTGACACTGGGCAGTTGTGCAGGAAATTCAGAATTGTATTCCCATTAGCAGAATTGAGTTACACAGTCTTTCAAAAATTTATCTTTATAATGTGCTGAAACAGTCTTTGATGTAGTTCTGACATACACATTTCACTTAAATATTGAATGGCCACATGCACATGAAGTTTTTAATATGTATTTCTTTACATACTAAAAGAGTTTAATACCTACTGTCATATTTTTTAAAAGAATTTCACTGTGTTGGAGGATTTTCCTGAATCCCGTGGTTAGGACTGGAACTTTCACTGCTAACGGTATGGGTTCAATCCCTAGTCAGGGAATTAAGATCCCTTGAGTCTCACAGCAGAGCCAAAAAAAAAAAAAGGAAAAAAGTTTCACAGTTTTTCTTAAACAGTGGGTACATTTAATCTGTACATTTACTCTCACATATACAAAGTAATAGTGAAGAAAACACTTAAGGAAAATGATTGGCTAAGGCCCACTGACAGTAGGAAGAAAACTCCAGATCATAAAAATTATTTTTGTTAGTGTCATAAGATACAAATGCCCACATTATCATGAAATGGCTTTATAAAATTTGTTTACAAAGAAAAACTGCCCACAAACAATTTGATTTCTTAATGTTAGTTAACATTAATTACCATCATTGTGTTTAATGTGACACTATTGTCATTGAATAGTCCAAATAATAAAAGCTAGTCACCCAGTGACTTTCTAATGAAGTATAAAAATCCCTAGGAATATTTAAAAATTTTTATTAAATATTTATTTATAGGAATTTTAAACTTGTTAAAATGGGTAGTACTTTGGTTAAAACTCTCCTAGGAGGACAGTCTCCATATTCTAGTGATGATTATTTTATTATCCTTGCATTTATAAATATTTTCCTTAAATTTTAAAAGGAGTAATGTGAACCAAATGTGGCCTAAGTATAGTCTCTGAAAATTGACTAATCAGACTCTATGTTTCTTCTTATATATATTTTTTTGGCATTTTGCACATAAACTATGTTGAGATAACTTTTTTTTAGATTTCATTTTGATTTTGTTATTTTAAAGAAAGCTTTAGCTACTGATGGATTGTATATTGACTGCTCAGTATTCTATCAGCAGGCACTAGTCTGGAGATTTCTACTCAAGGCAGAGGTTCAAAGGCCACTACATCAACGTCTAGAAATATGTCTATTATAGATGGTGAGTATAGACTGCAAGTGATCACTTTGCAGTTATTTATAAATTCCAGTGCAAGAAGACCCAGGAAACCCCATGAATAAGTCTTACTGGTTTGTGTTGTCGTCACTGGGGAGTCAAAAACGTTATTGGAATCACAGGATAAATTATATTAATTTAAAAGACCTTTGCCATTCAGGGGGCTATTGAAGAGGGTGAGCTCTAAAATGTAATTTTTTATAGTATCTGATATTAGACAAATCTGATGATTTCCCTTTAATAGAGGGATCACTGAGACATAGAAAAGGCAGTTGGTCAGTGTATCAACAGTGATTAAGAGACAAGGAACTGCTTCTTAACACACTGTTAACTTGCTTTTCTCATGCTGCTTTTGTCCATGTCTGCTGTTAATATAGTCAGTCATGTGAGCTGCATCCAAGGGAAATTATAGTCAGAATTCTGTGCATTGATTTTGTGTATGTGTTGTGTCTGAAAGCTAGCCTCAAACTAAGGGAACCTATTTTTTATGAACGGTTTTGATAATAATGTATAAAAATTTAATGAACTTTTCCTGGTGGCTCAGAGGTTAAAGCATCTGCCTGGGTTCGATTCCTGGATCAAAGATCCCCTAGAGAAGGAAATGGCAACCCACTCCAGTATTCTTGCCTGGAGAATCCCTTGGACGAAGGAGCCTGGTGGGCCCCAGTCCATGGGGTCACAGAGTCTGACATGACTGAGTGACTTCACTCACTTCACTTATGAGATCAACAGAAATTGTAAGTCAGATTTGTGAAATTTTATGTTAAAATAGGTGGTGATTTTTTTTTTCCTCCTTACCATTCAGAGTATATCCATATGTATTGTATTTATATTATCTTATTATTGGAGATTAATTTTCGACAGATTGGAGAGTTGGATTAAGATCTTACAAGATGAAATTTATAAAGGGTAAATACATGCTGTATATATGTCCAAAAGGATGGCTGCCCAGAGAGGGTTCTGAGAAATATATGATGTTAGCAGGAAACCAAGTAAGAAAGACTTAGGTCACTTAAGGCTGTGCAAAGGTTGATCTAACTGTCTAAATCTGATGGTGCCTGAAAGGCTGCTGCTGAACCGTGAAAGATGCTGGAATTCTTGGCCTCCAGAGGAGAGGAATTCAGTCCAGGGCCAGTGACGAGGCTCAATCACTCAGAGATTTTGTGTGATAAAGTTTTATTAAAGTATAAAAGAGATAGAGAAGGCTTCAGACATAGACATCAGAAGGAAGAGGAAAGAGTGCCTCCCTGCTAGCCTTTAGCTGGATGTTATATAGCTACTAGCAGGCTGCTAACTGGAGAAAGGAAATACCTCAAAACTCAGAGACCAGAACCAGGCGCCTCACCTGCAACATGCATTTTGAGATAACTTTGGCACAAGGTGAGTTGTCCCGGGCCATAAAGGGATTGACATGAATCTTGAAGAAAGGCAGGTTTCCAAGCAAATATATAGTTTCATTAACATAGGTTAGAAGAACAATTGTATGAGTAAAACATGCTGGTTCCTTGAGCCATTATCAGTTATGAGTCTCTTAAGTGAGCTGACTTGAAGAAAGACATAGTTGATTAACATAGCTGAAGAAAAACATTTCCATAAGAAAAACACATTGGTTAGCTCAAGGTTTGAGAAAAGTTCTGGTAGAACCAGGTATTGTCATGGCAACACAGAATTTTAAAAGAAACCTTTTAATTTTGTATAGAGAAGGGAAAAAATCTGATACTTCTTGTTTCCTCCTGCTGCTTAAGAGAGATAAAATCATCTGACACTTGCAGCCTATTTTCTCTCTTTGGAGACCCCTAGCCTTCCTGCCTGTACCCTCTCAGTGCCTAAAGCAGTATTTATAGAAGTAGTGCTTCTCTACAGCAAGGAAGTTCTCCCTCTGTGCTGATTGGTTGTATCATGTCAAGAATACTGTGCTCATCTTTGGAACCATATTTCAAAAAGGATATCAGCCTTATATGATCATTCAAAAGAGAAACCATATAATATTTAAAAAAAGCTCTTAGAAGGAACTTAGGGTAGCTAACCTGGGAAAAATTGAAATCTTTACATTAATGAAGTTCTATCATGTCAAAGATCAAATAGATGTGATTTGCATAGTCCTAAAAAGAGTGATTTTAAATCTGTTTTAAGTTATAGATTCTGCAAGCTACGTATCCTGTCTTTAAATAAGTACCCATGCAATTGTATTCCATTTCAAAGGGTTCAGGGATCCCTGAGAAGCCCATCCATGGGCTCTAGGTTAAGAACTGCTCCCCAATGAGGATAGATGGGAAAAGCTAATCACACACACATTTAAATTTATTATATGATAAAAGAGACCTGGAAGACTTAAGAACAATTTCACATACTCCCTGTTTTATAGATGAGGAAATTGAGCTAAATACTTTGCCTTAGGTTGATAAAACCACTGATAGTACTAATAATTTATGAGACAATTACTAATTGTCTGCAACTATAATTACTAATATTTATGAGACAATTACTGGATGCCTGTCAACAGCTCAGTGGAAAGTGAAAGTGTTAGTCACTCAGTCATGTCTGACTCTTTGCTAACCCATGGCCTGTAACCCACCAGATTCTTCTGTCCATGGGATTTTCCAGGCAAGAATACTGGAGTGGGTAGCCATTTCTCCAGGGGATCTTCCTGACCCAGGGATCAAACCCAGGTCTCCTGCTTTGCAGGCAGACTCTTTACCATCTGCTCAGTAGGGTTGATACTTATATTTTCTGTTTTACAGAAAAGAGAACCAAGGCTTTAAAAAGATAGTTGATCTAAGGTCTCTTGGCTAGTAAATTCTGGAGCCTGAATTGAGCCCAGATTCTTTGGCCTTCAGGACAAATAGTTAACCACTATACTAGTTTCCAGAGTTTGATAAAATTAGAGATTGAGCTAATTGGTTGATTGAGCTGATTGGTTCTCAGTAGTCTTTGCATTATACAGAATAGCCTGTCAATCAACCCAAACTTGGAGTAAGCTGCCTCAGAAGGAAATGAGCTGTGACTCCATCAGAGGAAGTTTTTCAGTATTTTTTGGATTACAGATGACTTTGAAGAAAGGATAAAAACATCAGATCTATTAAATGATTCTTAAAGAACCTTCTTATCAAAAGTTCTGTTGCTATGTTTTTATTCAAGAATTATTCAATACTTGAGTAGAGCCAGCTGAAATCCTTTTGACTTCAGAAGTATATTGTCTCTGTTGCCATTTAAAAAATGGCATCTAGAAAGATACTGAGACATTCTTAGCAGGTCTAAAATAAAAGCACAGAACGGGAAAGGAAGTGAAAAAAAAAGCACTATAAAGAATCTGGGCTGAGTTCAACATATGAAAAGTTCTGTGACTTTAAATGAGTCACTCACTCTCCTAGTCTGTTCACATGTAAATTGGGACTAATCTTGCCAAATGGGATTATTCTGAAGATTAAAAGCAAAAAACCTGGGAATTTGCTGGCGGTCCACTGATTAGGACTCTCCTGAGGGCCCAGGTTCAATCCATGGTTGGGGAAGTAAGATCCTGCAAACCAGATGATAGAGTGCCTCTCCGCTCCTCAAAGCCTGGCACATAGTAGGCTTTTGTGAAATGTTAATATTAAGAAAGAGAAAGAGAGCTATTATTGAAAAGAGAGGGAGTTAGGAAAGGAGCATGAATAAAATATGAACACTTCCTTGTTAATTGGTTAATGTGCAACCAGTTTGGTTAGTGTGCAACACAGAGGTATGGGTATTGTAAATTACGTGCCTTTACCTTAGCCTAAACTGAGTTTTTTTTATCATAGCTTTGTTCACTTTTGTTTGTTTGTTTGCTTGTTTTTTAAATGAATTTTTTACTTTTGGCTACATTGGGGCTTCATTGCCATGCACCAGCTTTTTCAGTTGCAGCGAGCAGACTTCTTGAGGTGGCTCTTCTTGTTGCAGAGCGCAGGCTGTAGGGCCTGTGGGCTCAGTAGTTGTGGTGCATGGGTTTGGTTGCTGCCTGGCATGTGGGATCTTCCCAGACCAGGGATCAAACCCGCATCCCCTGCGTTGGCAGGCGGACTCTTCACTACTGGACCACCAGGAAAGTCCAGGCTTTATTGTTTTATGTTAAGCTTTCCCTGACACCAGTGGACAGAATTAATCACTCAAACTGAGCCTTCAAGTTTCCACTATTCTTATTAAGAAATCAGCTGTTAAAAAAAAGAAAGAAATCAGCTGTTAGTTTAGCTTGTTGCTTTTTTTAAAAGTAGTCCATTTTTTCTCCAGCTAACTGTCTTTGATGTTCTGCACTTTCACTATGATGAATCTAGATGTTCAATTCTTTTTTCATCCTGCTTAGAATTTATTCAGCTTCATGAAACTGTGAATTGGTGTGTTTTATCACTTCTAGAAATCCTTTGCTGTTATCCCTTCAGGTACTACCTCTATTCTGTTCTTATTCTTCTAAGATTTCAATTAAATAAATATAACCTATTCACTCTGTCCTCCCACTGGGGAGTAGTACTAACTTGCCAGAGTAATTAAAAGTATTAATTATGCATATCTATTACTGAGCACAGCACTTGATAAGAATCCAATCAATGATTGCTGTTGTTATTAATAGTATTAGTGCCAGTGTTTACAATAAGCTTATGAAAATGGATCTTCCATAAATTAGTCTAAATTTGTCTTTTATACAGTTGATTTGGCTCAGTGGTTTTACATTTTGGGTTACATCCAACATTGGGCCTTTTTTTGAAAAATAAAACTGACTTTTTAATACAGTCTGTGACAAAATAACCATGGAGTACTGGCTATAATTGCTGTAACTTTGGGACAAAAGCAACTTTAAAACTAGAGCTTCTGTGTTTGTATTCTAAATGGACGAATGAAGAGATAAATAAAGGTTCAATTCTATTATAACAAACTACATGGGGTGTAGAGGTTTGTTAATGCATTGGAGTTTTATTGGGAAATGTATTAATAGATATTACATTTATATGTGTGTATATCTATGTATTATATCTATGCCAGCAGCAGTTGTGAATAAGAGTTGACAGCCCATGTTTTTCCACAGAAGTTTCTCTGCAAAGGGTAGTGACTAAGTAAATAAAAGAGCCTCTGTCTTGCATTTAATTTATCATGGCTACCATTGCGGCTACTCCATCTACTGGTACTAGTGACATCATTTGAATATCTACTCCTATAGTCACTTGCCATAACATTTACATTAACTACCTCTTTTTATCCTTTCAACAATTTTCAGCATGAAGTATTAGTAACACTGCTTTATAGGTAGGGAAACTGAAACTTGAAGAAGCCAAGGAACTTGGCCACAGTCACCCAGCTAGAGAGTCCTCCTAGGTCTAACTCTAAAACCAGAGCTTTTAGCCCCCAGTACAGTATGCATTGCCTTCCTAATAGAACCCAGTGCTTAAATTTCTGGTAATGTTCATTTATCACACAAACACTTATTGGGGATAAAAAAAAAGAAAGGCTCTTGTTTCTTCTGCAAGGAGCTGAGAGCTTGAGGAGTCCATTAGTGAATAATGATTGAGCAGAAATATTTTTTTGGAAGAGTTGCAGTCCCTGGCCCTTTCTCATTCAGTTGACCTGTCCAGCCTTTGAGTAGAGCAGGATTTGAGGCCGGTAGTAGAGTAGATGGGTAGGAACTCTGCTTCTGTCTTTCTTTTCCCCTCTTAGCTAGACATGCCAGGATTGGGGGTGGAAAAAAGGAGTAAATGGTAGCTTAGAGCTAGGTGGGAAGATTCCTGAGTTTTCTTACTAGGAGAATTTTGGACTTGGTGGGGTTGTTTGAGCATTTGACTTCTTTAAATCCTCTGTCTTTTTAATCTCGTCTTGCCCTGTTGTTTGGCTTTGGGGTTATCTTGGAGGAGACTTTTTTTTTTTATGTTAGGAGACTGGTAAGGCTTAGGAGAAACTTAAACCTCTGATTGGCTGTTTAAATTTTTTTCTAGGTTTTTAATATTCTGCACTTAATTCCAGTGTGTGTGGGGTTGGGGAGTGGTTCCCCACACCACCATGCAGTTCTCAGACATCTACTGGGTGTCCTACAAGTCAACTCAATGACTACCCAGAGACAGCATCAGATTGGGAGCTGGGGAGAGACCCAGCTCCACAAGACTGCCTGCTTCTCTTCAGATGCCAGCCACATGCTGGCATATGGTTGTTCCCATACTTCTGACCAATTGGCCATAAATCAGAGGTTCCCATGACTCCTTCCTTGGATTCAATTTACTTGCTAGAGTGACTCACAGAACACAGGAAACTAGTTTACTTACTGGATTACTGGCTTATTACCAAAGGTATTAAAGATATGAATCAATAGCTGGTTGAAAAGAGGCTTAGGACAAGGTCCAGAACAAAGGAGCTTCTGTCTGTATCAAGTTTGGGGTCTAGGCATGGTGGCGTGTGGAAACATCCTGATTCATTTCCTCCAGCTCTCTGAACCCCTTCCTTCTGGGTTTTTACCTAGGCCCCATTACATAGGCAAGATTGATAACATTATTGGCTGTTGGTGATTGATTCAACCTCCAGCTTCTCTACGCTCCCCAGAAATCAGTCTGGGGACTAAAATTTCCAACCTTCCCTTCCTAGTTGGCTCCCGGTATCCAACCTCCCTCAGTTGTGGTTCCAAAGTTGCCTTGTTAACATAGTAAAAAACACCTTGATGGCTCTCATCATTTCAGGAGATCAACGTTTTAGGGGCTCTCTGGATTTCCTGGTGTCTCAGACGGTAAAGAATCTGCCTGCAATGCAGGAGACCCAGGTTCCATTCCTTGGTTGGGAAGATCCCCTGGAGAGGGGAATGGCAACCCACTCCAGTATTCTTGCCTGGAGAATTCTATAGACAGAGGAACCTGGCAGGCTACAGTCTGTGAGGTTGCAAAGAGTCAGACACAACTGAGTGACTGACACTGACTGACTAGGGGCTCTCTGCCAGAAATGTGGATGAAGACCAAATTATATTTCTTACTGTAAAATCATAATATAGTCTTGGGAAGAATAAACTTCATGATTCTAACCAGGTTTATGAAGGTGGAAATATGAGGATTTGTAGGAAGATTATTGTGAAACAAAGGATACACTGTTTTCTAGAATTCCCTCTGGACAATTACTTAAATACTGAATATTTTTAACACAGTAGAGGAGAGTAAGGAAGCTCTCACTGGAACAAGTGGCTCCTAATAAGTAAAGCCACAAGGAAAGAGATTGCCAACTGTAAAAGAAGACCTGAGGAGGTTACTTTCACTTATTTGGAATTCAGTCTATTTGGTGATCAGATTTTATGCTTCAGGTATTTTGCCATAAAATATTTTTTACTATAGATGTATTTATGAACACTGCTTATTACTTTATTTGAGTAAATCAGAAAAATCATTTGAGACTGACAGACATATAATTCCATCTCCCTTCAGATTTTAAGAAAGGTTTTATAATTAGTCATCATGAGCTTTTACAGATAAAACTTAGGAAATATTCAGCTAAAGAAGCATGCAGATTTTTCTAAACTATTTTAGGAAAAACATAATGGATGTATCATCTTTTTCATTGTAGCCTTTAAATCTACAAGACAGCAGCCCTCCCGAAATGTTGCTACTAAAAATTATACCGAGGTAAGGAGAAAAAGTTCTATAGTTGTTGGCTACTTTATATTTTGTACATTATGATTGTCAATTCTTTGCTCTACAGAGTAAATAAAAGAAGAAAAAAATGTAAAATGTTAAAACTGTTGAGAATTTTACTGATCATATAGGCTGAGGGCTTCTAGGAGTTTTTATTTTGTTTTCTGTCTTAAAAAAAAAGTGAATCACCTTGATTGTACATCCATAAATATGTGTCCCCAGTAATAGTTTTAAGAATAATAATGTTGAGCCAGAAGGGTCCATGCGTGGAAAACTGTTACAGAAGATGGGCATTCAGTGCACAGAGACATCTTGTTTCTTGCTGGCGTCCTTTTGTTACTTACATACTCTGTGTCTTAATGGCTGAAGCTAGACTGAAGACAGATTACAAGGTTTCAGTTTATGGACCTCTGTGTGACTCTAGATTTAACATGAAACTTCTGCTGTTGCTTTGGATTCCAAGGAGAGTCCAAAATTGGCTTGACTCTCCTCTTCCCTCGTTTTGAAAACCCATGTGTCTGTCTCACTTTTCAAGCACCATTCCTGGCTTCTGCCTCTGAGTGCCCCCTCCCCCCGCCCCCAGATATAATAATCAAAATTGCCTCTAGACATGCCAGACGTTTCTGGAATGGGAGTAGGGGTTAAAAATCACACCAAGCTGAGAGTCACTGCTCTCTATCCTACCACCCTAACAACGTTAAATTCATCCCTTCCTGGTCTCTTCGAGCAGGTGATGTGGCTGACCTCCTCCTCTTCCATAAAACTTCTCCGTCCTGCTCCTACTATTGCTCTTTTATCTCTCTTAATTCCATTTTTTTTTTCACCTCTTCTTCCTATTATACAACTACCTCGGAGTGTACTGGTCCTTTTATCCTGACCTCTATTTTGTTATTCCTAGTCAGCTGTTGCCCTCTATTATAGCTTCATATGTGAAAACAAACAAAATTTTCATCATGTCTACAAGGAAGCTTCCCTTCTAGATTTTTCTTTTATAATGGAAGAATATAAGTTCAAGAAGAGTTAAGTCATGGCAAACTAACTTTTTCTTTCAATTTTTTAAATTGGGGTTACATAGTGGTGGTTTCGAGGGATGCTGAAGGTGTTAGATTCCTTCAAGGTATATAAGACAATCTTCTGATAGTTTAATGGACAAAAATATTGTCTGGATTCATAGCTGATTAGACAGCTTCATTTACTCGGTTTTTGAGTAATAGTTCAGTGTTAACCTACTGAGGGAGTGGATCTCAAGTGCTGTTTTTTTTCACTGTTTTGTCTTTGACTTTATCAGTTAAATGAAGACAGAGCAAATGTGTGTATTAATTGTCAAGATAACAGAAAATATAAAATAGGTAGTATTTTGGATTATAGAATCAAGAATCACAAATATCTTTAGTGAGGCTTAAAGGCAACAAGTGGTATTTAACAGGGATAAATGTAACAGAAAAACAGATATCCAGTACTTCCCACACAGTCTTATATACCTCATTTTTAATTGGAGATGAAACACCAATGGTCTTTCATTTCAAACCCAGGAAAATCGCAGGGCACTGTCTGCACATGACCCTATGTGAGTTATTCACCAGTCTAGGTACATGTTCCTGTAGGTACTCAGGCTGCCATGGTACAGGATAGAAGTGAGCTCACATATTATACAGAAAGCCATACATAAAATGAAGAGTTGTCTTGCGGGGAGGTCAGGCGGAACTTTAGGTTTTATGGATGCTGCTCACATGGTTTCTGCCTCCTTTTTTGTAAATTTTTATAAAATTATGTATTTTTAGAATATTGAATGCATTTTTATTCAAATTTTCCATCCCCACAAAGACTATTTGCTGTTTCTCCCTCTTAGGTGATTGAGGTGGATGAGTCAGATACTGAAGAAGACATTTTTCTGACCACATTCAAAACTGATCAAAGGTAGGTGCAAAAATAAACATCTGAAAAAATTAAAAATTATCCAGAATTCTCCTTATACATTTTTCTAAGTCATGGAAACCTAATAGATTCATTTTCAACTAGTGATGTATATGTTGTTGCTGTTTAGTCACTAAGTCAATGTCTGACACTTTGCAACCCCATGGACTAAGTTTCTCTGTCTATGGAATTCTCACAAGAATACTGGAGTGGGATTGCCACGCACTCCAGGGGATCTTCCCAACCCAGGGATCACACCATCACCTCCTGCATTGCAGGCAGATTCTTCACCACTGAGCCACCTGGGAAGCAGTCATGTATATATAGAAAAGAAGAATAGACCAGGGGCTAGTTCATAGAGCTGATGCATCCTTATTACAAGTATTTTCAGTGACAGTTTGAGTAACTTGTCATTCATTTCGTTTTGCCTTTATTACCCAGTGATTTTCTTGTTAGAAACAGTACTCTAACAAGCTTTGTATTTTGTTAATATTCAGTTTCAGCTTTTAGCACTTCCTGTATGTCAGGCACCATTCTAAGCCTTTCCATATGAATTAGCTTGTTTGCTGCTTACAGTAACTCCAGGAGGTAAATGTATTTATAACTCTGTTTTCCTCCCTTTTGCCTTTGAAGAAAGTGAGGCGTGGTAGTTTAAATAGCTTACCTGAGGTCACCAGCTAGTCATGGACCAGGCATTCTGCTTCAGGACTCACCTCTGCCATTGCTGCTGCTTTTATTTAATTTTATTGAAATATTAATTGATTTACAGTGTTGTGTTATTTTCTGCTGTACAGCAGAGTAGTTCAGTTATACATATATATACATTCTTTTTCACAGTCTTTCCCATTATGGTTTATCCCAGGATATTGAATATTGTTCCCTGTGCTATGCAGTAAGTCCATGTTGTTTATCCATTCTGTATATAATAGTTTGCATCTGCTAATTCCAGATTCCCAGTCTATCCGGCTCCCACTCTTCTCCCCCTTGACTAGCACAAGTCTTTTCTCTGTGTCTGTAACTCTGTTTTTGTTTTGTAGATAAGTTCATTTGTGTTGTATTTTAGATTCCACATATAAGTGATAGCATATGGTATTTGTCTTCCTCATTCAGACTTACTTTGCTTATTATGATAATCTCTAGGTTCATCCTCTGCTGTTGCTTCTTAACATAATAGATTAAACTCTCAGACCTCTGTGCTTGTAATAAGAGTCATTTAAATGACAAGAGACAATTTAGAAAGTAACATTTTGGCAAGAAATCTGAAATCAGCCTTGGCAGGTTTGTGTTCCTAATGACAGCAACTGGGTGACACGATTTAGGTTGTTTGGGGGAAATTATTTAGTAATAGCATGGTTTGTATATTTATTTCGGTCATAATTGGAAGTATTAAGCTCTACCACTTACTGAGTATGGGCTGTGTACACGTTTCTTCTATGCCTCAGTGTCCTCATTTGTAAAATGAAGACGAGAATATTCATCTCCAAGGGTTATTATGAGGCTTAGAAGTGAGTTAATGTTAGTGAAGTGCTAAGTACAGTACTGACATAGCTTATGATGAACGATGCCAGATTTGTGGTCTCCAAAGGAGAAGATTTAACTCTGGGACCAAAGACGCAGTCTCAGTCACTCAGAGCTTTGTGTAGCAGAGAATTTATTAAAGTGAAAATGATAGAAAAATGTTCTAGCAAAAGGCACAGGAAGGGGGTAAAAGAGTATCTGCCTTGCTAGTTTAAGCAAATCATTAAATATATAAAAGCATTATGTACTTTTCAACTGGCTGTTGAGGATAGATAAAAAGAATGCCTCAAGACTGTGAAAGTTTTGTCAGACCTCTTTTCCCACAGCATACATCTTGAGCTTAAAAAAAATGCATGTCCTTGAGCAAGAGATAGGGCTTACAAGGCCTACGTGGCTAAGGCAAAAGAATGTGAAAAAGAAAGAGTGTTCACCTCCTCCTTAAAGGGGCCTTAGACTCCCTATCAACCTGCTTAAGTTAACGCTGTCAGTACTTGGCACAAAGTAACACCTCTATAAGGAAGAACAGGCTAGGGAAATAGAACCAGAATAACAGGAAGAATGGTAGGCAGTGAAAGCACTAATATTCTGGTGGTTAACCTGAAAAAGGAAAGAACTTTGAGCTGTAAAACTCCCTTCTGCTGGATAGGCAGTGGTGGTCCACCCACTTTGCCTCGAAAAGATTGCAGCGAACTCTACCTTGTTGTGGACTTCATGGTGACTCAGACGGTAAAGAATCTGCCTGCAGTGCGGGGGACCTGGGTTCAATTCCTGTGTCTGGAAGATCACTTGGAGAAGGGAATGGCAATCCACTCCAGTGTTCTTGCCCGGAGAAGTCCATGGACAAAGGAACTTGGCAGTCCATGGGGTCGCAATGAATCAGACAAAACTGAGTGACTAACTCTAGCTTGTTGTACCGGGAATAAGAGGACCCTTCCAGATTTGATACACCCTCATCTTAAAGCTACGAGCAAGAGAAGACCTGGTCCCATCAGGCCAGGGGAAAAGGAGAGATGGAGGGGATTCTATTAAACCTCACAGTGTGGGGAACTGACATTTCGGTGGCACCTTTTATGTGCCAAGGCCAATTTAACATGTTATCTTATGCTTGTGACAGTGCTACAACTGACATAATTGGCCAAACATCTCTAGACAGGAATTCTGACCTGTGGCTCCAAATTATATCTGTGCAAAAATAAAGAAGACTTAGAGCTCCTGCACACAATTTAATACACCCTCTCTGCCTTAAAGCTCATCAAATTAAACTTCCTTTTTTTTTTTTGTCATTCAGGACAAAAGCCATTTATTTATTTGGCCTAGCAGTCAAAGCAATATAGCCATTCTTTCTTTCCAGCACTGATTTCTAAGGATAGGGGACCACTTATAGACTAGATCTGTCGGTCTGTGGGGTCCTCTGGTGTAGAATTAGGGGCTCCTGCTATGATCACATGAGCCAGCGTCTGGCATAGATGTCTGGGCACCATTGGTTATTTGTCTGGCTAGACAGCAGCAGGCAGAGAGTCAGGTCTCAAGTGGATGCTTCTTTCTTAACTTTCCACTTTCCCTAGCCCCCGCATCCACAATGCCTTGCCTGCCCTGGTGGGCTTCGGCTTTATGCTCTTGATGCTCCGTCTTCCTGTCACAGATGGAAACCAGTCAACAATGACCAGTTCCAGCTTAGGTCAAATTCAGAGAGGTAGGGGCATCCCAGTTGGATCAGTTGATGAGTTCCTTGATCTTTTGTCTCTGAAGCTGTGTTACCCTTCCAGTTGCTGGTCACATCCTCCTTTACCTCTGTGCCTGAGAACCTGTGGATTTTTCTGTTTCCTTCTGACACAAGACCTCTTGTTTCAAACAGTTTGTCCAGACAAGACCTTCAGTTCTTTTGCTATAGTAACATTCCAAAGCATGGTAATAAATCATTGGCTAGGAATTCACAAACACTGCTTTCATTTGTGACAGGAGCTGGCCACCTTTTTCTTAAAGGGTTAGGTAGTAAATATTTTAGGCTTTGTGGGCCAGGAGACAATATTGGGGCTATTATGTAGGTACTTAAACAACCTTTAAATGTACCCATTTCAAAAAGTGAAGACCATTCTTAGCTCACATCTGTGGGCAACAGGTAGGCTGGATTTGGCTTGCTAACCAAGATTGCTGTCCCCTGTTCTAAGATAACTTAAAATTTTTGTTAGTAAAAAGACAAGAATATGAATTCCATTACTACAAGTTAAGCTTCATGAAAGCAGATTCCTGATTATCTTGCTGACCGATATTTCCCAGGGCCTATCATTTAGTACTTGGCAAGGATCAAGTACTAAATAAATATTTGCTATTCGATTTGGATAGAACATAGATAATATTAACTGAGGCAACCCTAGAAAGCGGTGAGGCTTTTCCAATATCCTTTTATCCTTTTATGGAAACATAGCTGATAGTTGAGTTAAAATATTTCAATGTTGCCATAATTTTGAGGAGTAGAGGATAGTAGTAGATACCTGTTAATATGTGCTAAGAACTAAGATAATATAAGCAAACATCAGTGAGGTGCTTCATACATGTCAGGCACTGATCGAAGTGTTTAGGTATATTAACACATTTAATCTTTTTTTAAGTGGCTATTGCTTTTTATTTTTATTTTTGAAATTAATTTTTATTGGAGTATAATGACAATGCTGTGCTAGGTTCTACTGTAGAGCAAAATGAGTCAGCCATACGTATACGTATATTCCCTCACTTTGGGATTTTCTTCCCGTTCAGGTCACTGCAGTGCAGTAAGTAGAGTTCCCTGTGCTACATAGTATGTTCTCATTAGTTATCCATTTTACAGATAGTGTCAATAGTGTATGGGCTTCCCTGGTGGCTCAAAGGGAAAGAATCCACCAGCCAATGGAAGATCCCCTGGAGAAGGAAATGGCAACCCACTCCAGTATTCTTGCCTGGAAAATCCCATAGACAGAGGAGCCTGAAGGGCTTCATGCCATGGGGTGACAAAGAGTCAGACATGACTTGGTGTCTAACCAGCTACAACATAAAGAGTACATATACGTCAATGCAGTCTCTCAGTTCCTCCCCCTCCTCCCCCTCCCCCTTTGCTGTTTGTATGTTTGTTCTCTGTGTCTGTCTTTATTCCTGCTTTGCAAATAGGTTCATCTCTCCCATTTTTCTAGATTCTACATGTGTGCATTAATGCAAGATAATTGTTTTTCTCTCTCTGACTTTACCCTGTATGACAGTTCTCTAGGTCCATCCACATCTCTACAAATGACCCAGTTTCATTCCTTTTTATGGCTAACACTTTTAATCTCTAAAAAAAGTATTATTACCCTCGTTTCATATCTGAGGAGATTGTGGCACAGAGGCTGAGTACCTTGCTGAAAGCCATGTAACTTGTAAAGGGCAGAACTGGAATTCAGCCCTTGACCTTAAAGTGCTTTTCCTCACACACCTCTGAGCTTTTACTGCCTCTAATGCAGCTCGAAGAGAAGGTACTAGCTGTTTTTATTTATGTCTACTACTAAAATGAAAAATTTGGCAAGAAAGTCTCCTGTGATGAATTTTTGGTTCATCTTCTCTGTTTTTTCTCCTATTTTGCCTCAGAGGCTCGAGTACTTCATCATCAAGCAAACCCATGTCCCAGAGCCAGATCTCCAAAGGGGTCGACTTTGAATCAGATGAGGTAATAAAGTACTAAGTTAAATCTTAAATTACAGTAATTTAAGTGTTTATAAAATCTGAATAGGAACTGCTAAGCTAGTTGCTGAAAATTATTTCTGAATATAGTTTCATTGATCACCTTCCTTGGAACCATAGTTAATGTGGAATCAATGAGAGGCCTCTGTTGAATGCCTGTCAGTGGAAGTGTCTCAGACGTGAAAGGCCTGAAATTTAACATCTAGTATTCACTCAGCTCTTATTTAACCCGCCGAGTTAACAGTAGGATCAGAATAGTTTTTTTTTTTAAGCTTTTGTTGTTTATATTTGGAGAAATAGCGGTGATAATATCATAGAAGTTTTTAATGTTACTTTTTAATAGAATGTTTATTAAATCCTCATTATATGCTCTACACATTTCCTATACAAGGGTACATGGTGGTAGTTTTCAACTATGGTAGAAACATGAACATAAAACTTACCATCTCAACCTGTTTTAAGTGTACAATTATCAATAGTTCACTAGTGTTAAGTGTATTCACATTGTTGTGCAACAACCTCCAGAACCTGTGCATCTTCCAGAACCAAAAATCTATACCCATTGAACCACATCTTCCCATTTCCCCTCTCCTCAGCCCCTGGCAACCACTCTAGTGTCCTTATGATTTTGACTGCTCTGACACTTCAGATCAGTGGGATTATTCAGTACTCGTCTTTTTCTGCCTGACTTGTTTCACTGAGCACAGTGTGCTCCAGGTTTATCCCCATTGCAGCATGTGACTCATGCCTCTGCTTTTGAGCTTCGCCTGCTGCTGTCATGTTCCCTGTGTCCCAGATGTGGTTTTGAAACAGCTTGAAGAGAGACTCCCCAGAACTCGGGCTACAGAGAAAAATGGCAACATGAACTCATACAGTCTGTCTATTAAATACTAACCTGTTGCCTCCAGGAGAGAAGTGAGCAATTGTTGATGCATTTGCAGAGCATCTAGATACACATACGATTATATGTTACTTAAAAAGTTTCGTATACTTCAAGTTAACTGCAAAGGAGAACTATTAGCAAATTCTCTACTATAATTTGGATTTAACTCTCCTTTATAAATCAGTTCTGCCTTTTATGGTAGCAGAAAATGAATCAATAAGTGAGAGCGAATTTGTATTTCTCAAGACATCCACATATCACTAGAGATAGCTAACTTGTTAAACATTTGAATGTGTTAATGTCACCAACGGAGCCTAACACCAAATAGTTATTCCCTTTTAGTAATATCTTAAATATAAACAAGAACTTTACAGATTTGCTTTCTCTTTTGAATATTTAGTTATAAACTATATAATCATTGATTTATGTAATCTGCATTAGATCATGTATTTGGGGCTTATTTTAGGTTTGTTAGTTTTCATTCTCTCTAAATTCTTAGCAAACATCTGATATTCTTGCCTATTCATTACTGTACGTGTAATAAACAACCCAGGAGCATAGGAACTCATTGAAACTGAAATAGCCCGTCTACTTCTTTCTCCAAAAAAATATTTGAAAGATCGCTTTGCTAGATTGTTTCTTGCATCATTCTGAGAGTAATGATCTATTTCTGGCATTAAATGGGTAGTGGGAATAAAAGTTGCAGTTATTTCTAAATTACATCATTTGACTTTATTTTTTTGGCTTTCAGTTTCTAGAACATCAGATATATCAGTTATAAAATGCAAATTGGAAAAAAAACCTGTTTAAAAACCTAATAAAAATGACTTAAATAGTATTTATTTTTTGGCTTTCCCATACCTTATTTGCTTTTAGTAGGATGAATAACTGAGAGAAATATATTGATATATGTTGTGGGTGTATATATACACACTCACATAGAGCAGGATAAAGTTTTATCTTTAATGCTTGCTAAAAATTCAGTTGAGCTTATTTATTTTGACAGTGAAATGACTACTAAGGAAGGGAGAAAGAGAAAAAAAACTGACAGTTTGTATTTATGAAGGAAGTAGAAACATGAAAGCCTACCCGATGTGAAAGGAGAAGATAGCTCTTACTGGCATTGTTTGCCCATAAGCACTCTGTCTTATCTCAGTGAAGCATGGAACAATCACTAATTTTACATTTGGATGTCGTTTCAGGACGATGACGATCCTTTTACGAACCTTAGTTGTTTAAGAAGAAACAGAAGATAATATATTTAATGGCAGTTTGAAGTTTTCAAGATTCAGGAAAAATTGAAACGTTGCAGGCTAATACTTTACCAGTTGAAAATTTTTTTAGTATTGCTGTTAACTGAAGAATATGAATCATTCTTGCTTGCACAGAGATGGAGAAACTAATGTATAAAAATTTGTGTTTTTTAATATTATTTCCTGACCATGACTCCCCTGTCTGAGAAACTTCCCAGTTCAAAGGCATATAGAGTAGCATTGGTTCTCCTTATTTTTTAATCTGGTGTTAATGTTAACTGTTTTATAAATGCTCTGTAAAACTTAGAAGGTTATTTTCCTGACATAGAATAGTTTATTTATACTGAGTGAGAGCTTTGTGTAAATATCATTCTTGAATAAGGACTAAAATAAATCTGCCATTGTACATTTCTGCTTTATAATCAAAGATTGTGTCAGTATTTTAAGGTGGTGACATTTAGCCAGAATTGAGGAAAAGAGCTTTACCCCTTTTTATAATTTTAGTAATTTCTAGACATCCTGGATTTCCTGCACGTAAAACAGTTTATATGAAACAGTGCCTAAGCTCACTGTTACTCAGTATGTGTTCTTTTTCAATATATGTTCTTTTTCTAATGCTTGTGATGGAATCAGCCAGAGACTTTGAATGATTACATATATTCTGTACTTTGAATAATTAGATAAAAGTTGGTATCAAAAAATAAAGTCTGTCAGAGTTATCATTTCTTATTCCAGTTGTAGCAAAGATTCTATTGAATCTATTGAATAGATTCAATTGAATCTTTGTGCTTCCATTGAATGGTAGTAATTTCCTGCATTATTTTCCAGTATTAAAGTTTCTCTCTCTTCCTTGTCTATTTCTAAGAGGAAAGGGTTAAAACAATTTAACCATATTTTTTTAGAAATATTGAATCTTTTTTTTTTTTAGATAGACTTGTCAGTTGACCCTAATGGTCATATTAGATTAACAATGAAGTATCACTTCTGTGGAATATCAGTGCTAAGATTCCTCATTATTAATATTTTATCTTAACATTGGGCATGAGCGATTCCAAAATCTTAGAGAAGCAGCTTTTGTTACTTTTTCTTACTTGTAAGTAAGAAAGGAGAAAATGGCTTTTACTCCTTCCTAGGGGGACCTAAGAATTTGACCTCTTCAGATTTAAGTTCAGTAACCCCATTTTTCTTTTTAAAACTGTTAAAAGACCCTGTGAGAGTGTTCTTTTCATCTTACAATGCAGCTATTTATTCAAAACTCCTGAAGGAAGTTATTGATCTTGGTGGTACAACAGCCTGACATTTCTTCATAGGTAGAAACAAACACTAGATGGAGCAATAGTCCTGATCTTTGGTATATTCATACCTATAATGTGTCAGACTCCAAAAGACAGCATTAGCTTAGTGGCTGGCCTCTATATCACAGCAGTTTGAAAGGGCCTAAGTCAAGAATTGCAATGTAGCCCTAGTTTTTTAAAAAATATTTTCTGTACTTCATTTGGGTATAGGATTATTTTAGTAGGTAGCATCAACTCAGCAGAAGGCCTTGTCCTATGAAATACTCTCCAGCACATCTACTCCCGTCTTTAATATTCTCAGTATTTGAATGAAGCAAAGATGAGATGCTTTCCACAGTGGGATGGAAGCTGGTTTGGGAGGCAGTCTTTAGGAAGAGTCAGCCAATGACTCTTCTCACCTGCCAATCGGATGTTTTCAGGTGGGGGTCATAGTAAGGGACATCACTAACGCAACCTGATAGGTTCCTGAGAAGAAGAGTAAGGACTTCTTCCTTTCTGCAAACTGCTCTATGGTATGAAAGAGGTACTAAATGGGATGCATTTAGCTTCTGTGAAAAGTAACTCTGGCAGTGAGAGAAGGTGAATTCTGCCCAGCTAATTCAGGTCATTTTGTGAATAGCATGTCACTTCCTGGAAATAATGTTGGTTGGCCCAAAAGTTCATTGGGATTTTCCATGAAATGTTACAAAAAACCCAAATGAACTTTGGGGTCAACCCAGTAGTAAGTAAAGCAGGAAAAAAAGACATTTTTGATGAATATTGCTGCATAGTTAAATATGCCACATATCCTTGATACTGTGTATTGATGCAGTAAAATCTAGGGCTTTTGGAATGGCTTTTGGAGTTGAGATAGATGTGTGGAGGTGATGACTGCAGAACCCCTGCAGTTTCCTCAGAGGCTGAGAGAAAGCCTCAGTGAAAACATTCTGAGGAGAAAACGTCTATCATTTACCAAAGAATATCTCTCTTTCTGGCATTTTGTATCAAAAATATAATAGTACATTTATAATTCTAGGAAATAAAAGTGGTACTTAGGAAATTTAGGCATTCAGGCTTTCAATTCGGGTACATATTGGATATGGTTTTTGTAAATGTTTTAAATTATGAAATCCAGTAACAGAGAAGTTATAGTTTAATAAATAATGATAAAGTGAGCCTCATGGCACTCTCTGTACAGGTCAGAAAATAGAATTTCACCAGTCCCTCAGGAGCACTGGTGTCCTCTCTGGGAAACCCCATCTTGACTCCTGCCATTGAGAAGTTTGTTCTTCTGCCACAAGGTGGTGCTTCCAAATTTAAAATTAACTCAGTAGTTTCGCAGTAAATTTGGAACCTATGCAATAATAATACTGAACCTATGCAGTTAAAACCAAAATTAGCTTTCTAATTTTATATGTAAATTGCTTAGCATATTTCACCTGGCTCAGCCTGTGTTACTAAGGAAATTGTCAGTTCGATAAATTTTAGATATAAAGGTACAAGAAGAAAATGTTTTATGTTTTAATAAAGAGAAAAGTCTTTATTAGAAAAGTGGAATTAAAAAGTTTCCCATTGTAAAATTTTTCTGTTGAAATGTCCTTTCTCCCAGTGTAATCTGTTGTCCTTTTTTGTATTCCTTATACATTTGTCACAGTGCTTTATGACTTTTTAAAGCTAATTCTTTTTTTTTAAAGCTCATTTGTTATAAAATAAAGATTTGTTTTTCCTGAGTCCAAAGAGTTTCCATATTCTTGAATGAAAAATGTCTACATTTCATCATTTGCTTATCTCATTCCCTTTTAATATTTCTAAACTTAATGTTTAATAAGTAGGTCTCAAAATACTAGCAGTTTAGATCGGTCTCTATGAAGTCAGCTCATAGCTTTCTCTTGCCAAGCACATTTGTATATCTGTTCTGTGACTGATAGCTAAATCTGATTTTAGCTATTTAAATCATAAAGGCAATGCATATTCTTCAAAATTCAGACATTGAAATCTTTATCAAAACATATATTTCCCCGTAATCTTCTCCCCAGACAACATTTCAACAGTTTAGGTACGTATTTCTCTAATTGCTTTTGACATGACTACTAGCAAAAATTGTTGAATTAGAACTATCAAATTGTGTAGTCAAATATTTCAGTCTGTGTGTCAAGGTATATATGTTCACCTTAGTACTTATTCTGACATCCTGAATTTTCCGTATCTTGTTTATCAAGCTCTCTTAATTAAGCTACCATTGTCTTTTTTTGAGAGATAATTGCACTGCTTTCCAATATATAATTTAAATGTTGTCACTCTAATAATTTGGGTCAAATAAAAGAATATTTAATCTGTGTGCCTTGATGTCATAAGTGGTAAAGCAATATTCAAAGGGCTGTTGACCAGTGATTGCGCATAATAGTTGATTATCCAAAAGAAGCACGATGGATATCAGGCTGTTTGGCCCAGGCTGCTGCTCTGTTCTGCCTGGCAGAGCCACAGCAGTGCTTATGAGTCATGTACAGCCACCCAGCACTAACACTTAAGTGCCCTTGATCACAGTGCCTCATTTCAAGGGTTTCGTTTTTGTTACGTTTAAAAATCAGTATTTTCTCAGCTGTAAGCTTATACAACTAACCTCGGTCTACCTATGATTGCATTTGAACTGATTGTGGGATGTATCTGGACTTTGAGCAAGTGTTGCTAGAGGTGAAAAGCCATTGTCTGGAAGAATGAGAGGCCGAATTGCATGTCTGTTGGTCTTAATGTTTTGTTTTAAGTCTTGATAGTCTAGAAATAGGACTTGTGAAATGACATCTAACCATCTGTCGTAGACATACATGAAAGCACCCAGTGGCTGATCACCCCAGTCTTGATTTCTGAGCTTTTCAGTAGTACTTTGAAACCAGGTTACATTTTTTAAACTTTTAATTTTGAAATAATATCATATTTGTGGAAAATGTACAGGGATAATAGAGAACTTTTTACCTTTTACTCAAATTCACTAATTTTTAACTTTTCATCATTTATAAAAAACTATTCTCTATGTGTGTGTGTTCCATGCATATATTCATATACAAACATGAACATGTACACTTACATGTAATTTTTTTTTTTTTTTTTGGTCTTTGGAGAGTAGGTTGCAGGGGAAATGCTCCTTTACCCCTTAATACTACAGTGTATATTCATGTGCCCTCAAATCTTATTCTCTTCCCTCCCACATCCTTCTCTCTGCTCTATTGTAGGTAAACAATTTCATTCTTGTTTATCCTTTCTGTATTTCTTTTTGCTAAAAATGAATTTGTGTATTTTTAATTTCTCCATTTTTCTTATGCAAAAAGTTACACATATATATATCTCTCCCGGCCCTCCCCCCCCACAATATGTCCTAGAAATTACACCAAACAATTTATGTAGATTTTTCTGTTTTTCATAGCTGCAGAGTTGTTTAAATACAATGGTTTATTCTATCAGTATTTACAATCATATAAACATTTCTTCAATGTTAACATTGTTAATATTTTCATATTTATGAATGTGTATCTTCAGAGTAAATTCTTGGAAGGTGGAATTGCTGGGTAAAACAGTAAATGCTTGTATAGTTTTGCTAAATACTGCCAAATTCCCTCCATAGAGGTTATTCTGTTTTGTATTTCTGCCAAAGATATGTGAGACAGCCTATTTCTCCATAGTCTCACCGTTAGAATTTATTGTCAAGCTTTTGATTTTTTGCCAATCTAGTGGATGAGCATCTCCATGTAGTTTTAGTTTGCATTTCTATTATGAATGAAATTGAACTTGTATATTTCAGGGGCGTTTTTGGTATATTATTTGTTAATGTATTTTACCCCTTTTCCTAGGATCTTTAGTTTTTCCACCCTCACCAATTAATAAAAATGCTTTTATGTTAAGGATATTGGCCCTTTGTCTATAATGCAAAACTTTCTTTTTGTGCTCTTACAGTTTCATTTGTCCACATTTAGATCTCTGAAGCACTTAGAGTTTACTCGAGTAAAGTTGTGAAGAAAAGATTTAATTTTTTCTTTTACAAATAACTATCCAGTTGTCTGTACATCATTTATTAAAGCTGCATCTTTGCCCCAGTGATGTGCTAGGTTTTCATATGTTGTGTGGTCTATTTCTCAACTTTGTTCTATTCCATGGGTGCTCTTAATGCATCAATAGTACAAAGTTTAAATATGAAGGCTGTATAGTATGTTTTAGTGTGTAATATTAAAGACTAGAGATCTCGTCAAGAAAAATAGAGATACCAAAGGAACATTTCATTCAAAGATGGGCACAATAAATTGGACAGAAGTCCTATGGACTAACAGAAACAGAAAATATTAAGAGGTGGCAAGAACTATACAAAAAAGATCTTCATGACCCAGGTAACCATGATGGTGTGATCATTCACCTAGAGCCAGACATCCTGGAGTGAGGAGTTAAGTGGGCCTTAGGAAGTATCATACAAACAAAGCTAGTGGAGGTGATGGATTTCCAGCTGAGCTATTTCACATCCTAAAAGATGGTGCTGTTAAAGTGCTGCACTCAACATGCCAGCAAATTTGGAAAACAGCAGTGGCCACAGGACTGGAAAAGTCAGTTTTCATTCCAATCCAAAAGAAAGGCAATGCCAAAAACTGTTCAAACTACTGCACAATTGCATTCATCTCACATACTAGCAAAGTAATGCTCAAAATTCTGCAAGCCAGGCTTCAGCAGTATGTGAAATGTGAACTTTCTGATATTCAAGCTGGATTTAGAAAAGGCAGAGGAACCAGAGGTCAAATTGCCGACATCCACTGGATCATTGAAAAAGCAAGAGAATTCCAGAAAAATAATCTACTTCTGCTTTACTGATTATGCCAAAGCCTTTGACTTGTAGATCACAACAAAGTGTGGAAAATTCTTCAAGAGGTGGGAATACCAGACCACCACCTTACCTGCCTGCTGAGAAATCTGAATGCAGGTCAAGAAGCAAGAGTTAGAACCAAACATGGAACAACAGACTGGTTCCAAATTGGGAAGGGAGTGCATCAAGGTTGTATATTGTCACCCTGCTTATTTAATATATGCAGAGTACATCACATGAAATGCTGGACTGGATGAAGAACAAGCTGGAATCAAGATTGCCAGGAGAAATAATAACCTCAGATATGCAGATGACACCACCCTTATGGCACAAAGTGAAGAGGAACTAAAGAGTCTCTTGATGAAGGTGAAAGAGAAGAGTGAAAACCTGGCTTAAAACTCAGTGTTCAAAAAACTAAGATCATGGCATCCAGTCCCATCACTTCATGGCAAATAGGTTGGGAAACAATGGAAACAGTGGCAGACTTATTTTCTTGGGCTCCAAAATGACTGCAGCCATGAAATTAAAAGATGCTTGCTTCTTGGAAGAAAAACTATGGCCTACCCAGATAGCATATTAAAAAATAGAGACATTACTTTTCCCACAAAGGTCTACATAGTCAAAGCTATGGTTTTTTCGATAGTTGTGTATGGATGTGAGAGTTGGACTATAAAGGAAACTGAGTGCAGAAGAATTGATGCTTTTGATCTGTGGTGTTGGAGAAGGCTCTTGAGAGTCCCTTGGACTGCAAGGAGATCCAACCAGTCCATCCTAAAGGAAATCAGTCCTGAATATTCATTGGAAAGACTGATGTTGAAGCTGAAACTCCAATACTTTGGCCACCTGATGCAAAGAGCTGACTCATTGGAAAAGACCCTGATGCTGGGAAAGATTGAAGGTCAGAGGAGAAGGGGACGACAGAGGATGAGATAGTTGGACTATGTCATGTCAAAGGACATGAGTTTGAGTAAACTCCGGGAGTTGCTGATGGACAGGGAAGCCTGGCCGTGCTGCAGTCCATGGGGTTGCAGAGAGTCAGACATGGCTGAGTGACAACTGAACTGAGCTGAACTGAACTGAATGTTTAATAGGGCTCATTACCCCTCATAGCTTTTCATTTTCCATGTTTTCTTAGGTATTCTTTTGTGTTTGTTTTTCCAAATGAACTTAAGTATCACTTTTGTAGTTTCAACAGCAACAAAAACTGTTTTGGTATTTTTTTTTAGAATTGCATTAAATTTATAAATTAGGAAGAACTGATATCTTTTAAGGATATCTTATCTAAGAACAAAGAATATCCTAACATTTATTCAAGTTTATTTTATGCATCTTAAAAATGTTTTAAATGTTCTTCATAGAGGTTTTGAACACTTAAAATTCAGTCGTATTATTTCATCTCATGCTGCTACTGTGATTGTAGTTTTTCTCCTCCATTATATCTTATAACTGGCCATTATTTTTATATATGAAATCTATTTGTTTTTGTATAATAATTTTATATCCTGCTAACTTGATGAATCCTGTCACTTAAATTTGTTTTATCTTTGATACATTTGGCTTTTCCAGGTGTAATTTTATGTGATCTACCAATGAAGATATTTTTATGTCTTGTTTCAATTCTTATGCCTTTAATGTTTTTTGTCTTATCTAAGTGCACTGGCCTCCACCACTATGTAAATATATCAAAAAACTGGCAAAGTGCAGACAAGGAACATAAATTTTTTTCAATACACTTTGATTTAATGTTGCCAAAGTTAAAAACTTGTAACTAAGAATAGCTTTTTCTCCAAATTTTATAAATTTAGCAAATGATAACTTCATTCAAATGCACTCACGCAGCGTGTACCTTTCTTTGTGTGTAACTTCTTTCTTACAGTGAGAAAGCTACAGCCATGT